TGAATCTCGGTAGTCGCAGAAGTTTGCTAGCGTTAGTTAATATTTGTTTGATTGTATCACATTGAGCGATATCCAGACTATCACTGATGGGTTTCGATCAAGTAGGTATTCCCGGCAATCATCCACCGATAGAAATGAAATATAATATGTAATCTTGGCTTTCATCATTGCTGGCATGTTATTATTATTTGCATTACTAAGAAAATAAAAAATCACAACTTTCTTTCATAACACATAAGTAAATTAGCACGAAGTACCTACGTTTCGAATTCTTTTGACGTATAAAAATGTAATATGTAACTAATTTATTATAATATTAAAAGCTATATAGCTTTTAATATTATAATAAATTAGTTACTTCTACTAATAGTCTATAGCCTTATTCTTAAAGAAAGATAAAGGTTATTTAAGCTCAAGATACGACAAGGCTCTTGAGCACAAGGCAATCTGAATAAGGCCCATCAATATCAGAGTTCATCACGTGGATAATTAAAGAATTTAAGCAAATTAACTAAATGAATTAGACTTTTACTATGGGACTAATCCCACCCACACGCCCACCACTGTAACTCCTGTACACCAGGATCCACAGCAGTGACCCACGAACACACCGAGTTATGACACTCGGGAAGTCCCAGGAAGAAATTAAACTGTCTTGGAACCCGCAACGAAATTAATCAGAAGAAAATTGGAGGAGTTGGAAATACAGTAAATCCACTTCCCTCCTTAGCAAAGCGGGAGACAAAATGAAGTAAAATAGGCATACACCCTTTTAAACAGGGAAGCACCACGGCCACCAAATATTACGGGTCCTACATGAGCTATATTTGATTTCTATAATATGTATGGCAGAATCGCCTAAACGCACGGAAATTCACCCTAGTTGACACAAGATCCCCATAGTATACCGCCCCAGATGTCACCTGCAAGCTATTCAGCATTATATTACGTTCATTATACCAAAGACTACATTCCCAGAGGATATGATGAGCAGACTGTTCATAATGAGAGTTAGGTGTTGAGCATTGACACAATGGTGACTCGACTAATTTAAATGAATACAACTTGCTCTTAAAGTTACCATGACCCGTAAGAAATTGAGCGACACAGTGATCCACCTCAAGCCATGTCCTCGACAACCGTTCGCGAACAGATGGAAAAAATTGGTAAAGATGGCGCCCCTTGGATGATTCGTCCCAGCGTTGCTGCCATTCGTCTATGAGGTCATTATAGACATCGGACTGCTGTTGAAGCAATCTTGTAATTTTACCGCGATCCCGCGCGCCCAAGAAATCGCATTCCATGTTTTGTCTTGAATAGTACATGGCTGCACGTCTCTGCACCTCGAGATCGACCGGTAGGACACCTGCCAACACCGGCAAAGCCTCAGTGCTAACCGTCCTATATGCCTTGCACAAAAATATCAGTGCAAGTCGTTGGCCTTGTAACAGTTTGCGACGGACAGCGCCTACGGTCGCCCTATCGGCCCATACAGGTGCACCATAGCACATAGAACCTAAATAAGTAGCTCCGTATATGATCTTTAATGTATTAAATGATAGACCCCATGTCGCAGTTGATATCCTTGTCAATGCACAGAAACTCTTTTTAGACTTTTCATTAACTATTTTAATATGTTCGATAAATGAAAAGTTTCTTTCTAAAACTAATCCTAGATAACACACTGTGGTTTTATTTTTTACAGTAACATTGTCAAATCTAATGCTCGGCGGTGATTTGAGGTTACCTTTTAAAAGTAACTGGAAGGTTTTGTTGGGTGCAAAAGTTAAGCGATTACGTTCACCCCATTGAGATATCAAGTTCAAACATCTATTGGCTAATCTCTCAAGCCCCGCCCTAGTATCAGATTCCACCAGTAATAAGCCGTCATCAGCATACGCGTTCAGAGTACATCCGGATGGTATTGGTATCGTAAGAAAATCGTCGAAGCCGATATTCCACAAGTATGGACCTAGCACCGATCCCTGAGGACATCCCATTGTAAGCGCCTTCGACACAGAATGATGACCAAGTCTTAGTTTAGTTGTACCTTGTGAAAAGTACGAAGAGATAAGGGAATAAATATTTTTAAAACACCCCCGTGATTTTAATTTCAGCAACAGCATGGGCCACCATGCGTTGTCGAAGGCGCCAGATATATCTAAGAAAATAGCCAGCACGTATTGAAATTTTGACTCTGTGACAAACTTTCTAACCGATATAACAGCGTCAGTTGTCGATTTACCCAACGTAAATCCAAATTGTCTATCATGAAATTTGACTCCACCTGGCAGAAGCCGGGGCACTACAAGACGTTCTAAAAGCTTTCCTAACGATGGTAACAATGTGATTGGTCGGTAGGATTTAGGATCATCCGGTGGCTTGTCGCCACTTTTTGGTATTATACGAATATTACCGCACCGCCATATACGAGGAAATATTCCTTCAGCAATGCAACGTTTAAAGACAGTGAAAATCGTGTCACCCGAAAGTTTACAAGCTTCTTTTATCATTTTGTTAGATATTTTATCATCACCGAAGCCTTGTTTAGCGGCAAGGATCTAATGATACCGAGAAATTCGTCTGAAGATGGTAAATCAGACATTGGAGACAGTGGTGGTTCGATGGCCCACTGCCTGATCTGTCGGTGATGATCAGTGTCGTTTCCGGTCGATCGTCAGGTACGAGTGAGTCTAAAAGATATTCTGCTGTTTGTTCTACTCCTGTGGTATATCTGTTATTAATTTTGATGTTCTGTATGTATGCGTGGTCGATTGATCTATTTGCCTTAAATTCGTGATACAAAGGTGACCACGGGCCCTCTCTATCGAGTTTATTAACAAGTTTCTGAATTAAGTTTCCCTTGGATTTTTCCACAGCAGCTCTGTAGTGGGACCTGGCAACTCTAAGAGCAATGAGAGCAATGTTGTACAAATCTCCTGTTACGTTATGTTTTTTAATAGTGTTTAATTTTCTACGAGCTTTCCGGTAGCTTCTACGTAGTTCGGCTAATCTATCATTCCACCAATCACATCTACGAGTGTTAGTGATAGATCCGCGACCAATAGTTACATCAGCGCAGTATGTAAAAGTTTCTGATAGTATTTCTGCGCTTTCCTCAGCTGATAAACTACTGCGACTGAAGTCTTTGGTATGAGTTGCAAAGAGTGAACCAAACAAAGCCCAGTTCGCACCTTTAGTTTTATATCTAAAATTATAGGGAGCCCTTTGTGGATCCTGTGCAATCCTTGGTGTGAATTCGTACACGATCAAGCGGTGATCACTACAGGATGCGTCCGGAAGGACACGCCATCCGGATATCGAGACGTCGCCGCGCGTAAGCGTCACGTCAATAGAAGACTCACCCATTGGGTTGCAAAAAGTTGGTGGTGCATCGGGGGTATTGTGAATAATAAGATTCATTTCCGCAATGAAATCTTCAACCGCACAACGTCGAACCGTGTCGGTTGAACGCAACTTGCCATACCATAATGAAGATGACGCATTGACATCAGCGCCAATGATAATTTTATGTCCCACGAGGAACTGCAAGACGTAACGTAAGTGATGTAAGTGAGGATCAATAGGATGTGAGTATTGAAAATAGCAGCTCACTACGTAAACCTTACAGGTAGAGGATGAGATCTCGACAACGGCGCAGTGTGACGTCATAAGATTACGCAAAGATGTTACCGTAAAATTAGAACTTGCAACATATATCCCAGCCTGCGAACGGCAGTCAAGCTGTACTACATTACGACGCAAGCGAGCGCTCTGATATTGTTCTTGTAAAAGGACAATGTCTAACTTTTGTTCTAAAATTAAACGGTCTAATTCTGATGTAGCTATTTTATCGTTATGAAGATTTAACTGGCCTATCGAAATATTATTCATTACTAGTAAGTTACTCTTTGAACTTTTTTTTTTTTTTTTTTTTTTTTTTTTTTTTTTTTTTTTTTTTAAACCAAGTTAAACTATTCAGTAATTGGTATTTAATATTAGCTGTTCCAGTTTTAATTTGTATGTGGCACAGTCGTATGAGCCGCATCGATGGTCAGATGGTTTTTTGAACCGCTTACACTGTGCGCACGTGGGCTTAAAATCTGGTGTGTCTTTATATGAATTAGACTTATTTACACCATCCGAAATCTTAATCAGAAATAAGAATATCGATTGACGGGACTTTGAGAATTTCCGAGGGGTCTTCAAAGTGATTCCCAAGCGCATTCCCTTAATTTGATTCTACTTTCAAATGACTTGTAATTTTTTCTTAAGTTATCCGAAAGAATTTGTTATGGTCTTATTCAGTGTAAAAATCACGGGGCCGTTTAAAAATTAAACATTTTAATTTATTAAAGGTTTCATTAAATAGTTTTTTTTTTCATAAGTGATTTAACTAGTAATGGTTAATGTCACAATAGGTCCGGCATTAAGTACTCATATATCATATATTGCTGGTTGACGCCGGCTTAGGATCTATTGCAATCTTAGTTCCATTTCCCCATCCTCGGATTGAAAGTTTCCCTTACCCTAGCTCCATTATCATTATCTGAAAGCAATTACATTCTCAAGGATGGTTGGTGATGTGGAGGAAAGTGTGTCATGTCCCTCTAACACAAAGGGAGGATCCTCCGACCAGGCGAGGTGATCAGCATGGCGAGCCGCGGTTCAACGATTTATGTTGGGGGTTGGATATATGCTAATGGGCGTGAGAATTATTAATATCGCGATATAGGATTAGCAGTTACTCTGTAGTTCGGTGTGTCTCCGTTAGATGGCGCTGTAGGATGTTTTTTTTGTTTAATGGTATGTGGAAGTCGCTACAATGTAAAGCCGGTGGCCGGTATTAAAAGAAACCAGACAAAATCTTTTGCAATGTCACACCAAATGGGACAAATGACAAATATTGTAATAAATAATTTTGCTACTTTAATATTTAAACAAATCCATTGTTACAAGTGCAATAGGTGCAATAAAAGAATTGTAGTCTAAGATCATCTCTAGTTCTTGTTGTGTAACAAGGTGTAAAAACTGTAGCTTGCTCGCAAAATCTGAAACAACATCATGATTTAATATTAACACTTAAATATTTCACGGAATCCTTAGTTGCCGATTAGTCACAAAGATAAGAAAAGTGGCCAATGAATAGGTAGCTAAACAAGACCTCTGTTTATGGATGTCTTAAGGGAGGGCTGTGTTCAGCATGGGATGTCTCATAGCTGAGAATTTGTTTTATGGTACATATGAGTAGACAGGTCACCTGATGAGAAGTGACTCCACCGTCCGTGAACACCTGCAACTGAAGAAGCACAATTCCGGTGCCACCCTTTGAGTGGCTTTCTCCGGAATCAAGGAGATGAGGGGCATGACATCACTTACTCGATGAAAAGCAAAGAAAGAATGGCTTAACATCGGTTTTTAATTATGAGGCCGAAATATAAATCAGAAGGCCAATTCTCGTAATAAAAGTTCGGTCGCAATTTAGTTCCGATTCCGAAGAACGAACTTCCGATCTCACAACTGTCATAAAAAGTATTTTCGCAGTAAAATAATAAAGTATTAATAAGGCTAGCAGATACCAATTCAATCTTCGATCACAATATGATATAACCTCATTACAGGCAACGTTGGATGTTTAATATTTCGAAATCGAAAGTTTATCAACTGACTTGAGATCAAACTTTATTACGAGAATTGGCTTTCTGGTCCATATGGGCGGAAGCATGACACTCCTTCTCCTAGAGTGCGGCATCTCCCGTCTCACTTCAGCGATTTCCTCGTCTGTGGCTCGCCATTGTCTTCGGGTTCTCTGAACACGCTCTCGTTCTCTTCTTCTTCGGCTCGAGTTCCAGAGTCCACCAGTACAGAGAACCTCTCCCACCCCGCGGCCTGACCCGTGGCATCGACGCGTCACAGCGGCGGATGGCCACATCGAACACGATGTCATCCTGATCCTGAGGGTGGCGGAGGAAGTGGTGGTGGTAATGACCGAGGGAGTGGGCGACTCCCTCGGTCATTACCACCACCACTTCCTCCGTCCGTCCGTCAGGTCGACGATCCCCCTTTTTTTTTTTTCCCCATGCGGAAATCCCCTCGGATACCACCTATCGGTGGCATGTCGGACTCGAACCGACTAAAACCGCACGCCGTCTCGGGTACTAATAGCCAGGGAACCAGGTATACCCTAGAAAGGAAGTCCCTGGTGCCCCAACATACAACAACAGGTAGACGACCCCCCCGTGTGGGAACCCCATCTTCCCTCTGCTCCCTGGAAGCGAGCGCGCTTCGCAACGTGCTCGCCGCCACCCCGGCCTGCTTCTGCTAGGGTGACAGATAGCCTCACCTGTCACCCCCAGGCCTGACGATCGACTCCCCCTGCCACCGCCCGTAAGTGTTAACCGAACCTCGGTATTAGAATGCCCAGGTTCAGTCCCGTCGCCCACTCAAAAGTGTATCTTCTCTTGTGTTGTCCAGGCGATCACCCCACTGTGTAGAACGGGTGTTGAAATGACCCAAGAGAAGTACTGGACGGGACAGGAAGGTGCAAACGCAACTCCTAAGGGCGTCCAAGTAGCCTCGAATACGGGGAGCCCGTGATTCGGAGATATGTAGCAGCCCACAATTCTCTCTTGAGTGTCACGTGTCCATGGTAAGTGACTGACGCAGTCACTTGAGATTCACGGTTCACGGGCCTGTTGGTCTAGTGGTTGGTGATGCTGATTGCTAAGGCAGAGGTCGTGGGTTCGATTCCCACCCAGGGACCAATAATTGTGTGATGAGCACGATCATTTGTTCTGTGTCTGGGTGTAATTATATGTAATGTGTATGTATTTTAAAATATATTAGTATGTTTATATGCAGTGTGGTTACCATAGGTTCCCGGATCCCTCCTATTACAGGCGCTGAGTGGCACACCGTATGGTTTTAGTCGGTCCGAGTCCGACACACCACCCCGCCGCAAACCCCGGTGGGGTGACGGTCCGAGGGGATTTCCACACGTAAAAAAAAAAGGCTCTGCCTAATTTGGGATCAGAGTACCTAGTGTAAGTTTATTTCACATCCACTCCCTCTGGACAGCGAGTGGGTTCGGCGTTGCGATTGGTTGAGATTTCAGTGCGGACCAATCGCAGCGCCGAACGCTCTCACCGTGACGACCGAGTAGATGTGGAATTGTAAAATGAACTCGCACTCAGACGGCCGTATGTGAGATTTGTGAGGTTATTATTATTAATTTATATTGATAATAATACATTTGTTTGAAATACTTACCGCTATAAAAGTGGGTAGCGACATTTCGTTGAAAGGTCCAGCTTTAAACACCAGGCGCTTCGTTGTAGTTAAGCCCAGAAGAGCAATTTCTTGTCGTAATTTTTTACTAGATGAAGGCCAGTCACTTTTGAAGGTACCGTAGCTTGTTAAAGTACTCTATAATGTTACAATGAATTAGGGATGATAATTATATGAAACAAAAAGTTAAGCAAACTAATATTGAAACAAGCATAACTAAAAATAAATAAATATCCCCGAATTAAAAATTCATTTAACAATTATAAAAGAACTAAATGCTAATTCTCGTAATAAAAGTTCGGTTGAAATACAGTTTCGATCTACTCACGATATCACAAGTGTCATAAAAGATATTTTCGTATATTAAAATCTTACGTTTCAGTCAGTAATGTGATTTTATCGTATTGTAACCGAAAGTTGAGTTAATCTGCTAGTCTTAGTTATAATTTTGCCTCGCACAACCAATCTGTAAATCGTGTTATCGCACAACCAAGTTATCGTGTGCGGTATTTCCGGAGCGATACGACCTTTAAACCTTCAAGAAAAGAGAGTACTCCTTCCTAAAAGGTTTTCAACGAGCTTGTGGCTCCTGAGTTGCAGGCACTTTTCATCAGGTGACCGTCTGCTGCCCCCTCTTCCATAAAAAATACTTTATTATTTTACTACAAAAATACCTTTTATGACATTTGTCAGATCGAGATTAGACCGTAACCGAGTTTTGACCGAATTTTTATTACGAGAATTAGCCTTCTTATAATCTTCGAGTGACTGTACAGATTTTCTTGAATAATAGCTAAGAAAACTTTTAATAGAAACCTTTCACTCAAAAAATCATAAACGGTCTATCAGTTTAGGGCCCACAATAACACACACAGACAGACAAATACACAGACACAAAGATACACACGTAAAATTTACAAAACCCTCCTTTTCCTCGGGATTAATAATACAATGTATGCCGTTCTCCCAACTGAGGCGACTTTAATGACACCTCATTTGTGGCAGTCCGTCTACAGAGAGGTCTAGGTTGTAGGTTCATGCAGGTACATGCAAAGATACATGCACCCATCTATAGTAAGTGGTTCGTGTAAAAACTCAAAAAGTTTTGCAGTGATTGAGCTCAAATTTTGAAACGAGCTACAAACCGTATCAAAGATTGTTCTAAACCATTTTTCGCGTCAGTTTAATGCCTTATTTCTCATCAATGTAAATGCGAAAGGTGGCAGGGTACGGCTAATATAACATTAAAAATAAATACATTTATATTTGGTTTGAAATAAATTGCTAATATAATAAATTTACCTCTACTGTCACTTCGTTGCTGTACCAATAAAAGATCAGCAGTTGTATCAAACAGGCAATTACATAGAGGCAACTCGAAACTAAAGTCATTATGTCGTCTTGTATCTGTAAAAAATAACTAAGGGGTCTGTTTATAAGGTTACAACAATCGACAGGCAAACAAAGCTAATCCATACTTCCGTACTCATATTATAACTGTCAAAGTAAGTCTGTTTGTTTATTTGTTACGCTTTCACGCTTACACCACTAAAACGATTTCAAGAACTTGTTTTACCGAATGGAGAGCTTTATTTTATCCCGCGAGCACCAATATAAACGCAGGCAGAGCCGCGGGCAAAAGCCATCTAATTTAAATATCTCGTGTGAAGGTGTTTGTAGTCGCGCTCTTCCTAAACGGCTCGACCGATTTTAATGTTTTTTTTTGTAAATTTGATAGGTGTGAGAGTAGGTCGTGCAGTATTTTTTACCCTCCTACTCCACTCCCGCCATATTTTTTTTATCGTGGTTTGCTTTTTTTCGTAATTTATATGGCAGAACATTATTGTTAAAAAATCTGACTATGTCCGTGTGAGCCTTTTCTTTAAGTCTTTTTTTTAATTTTGTGGGGCATGATCAGACAATAGCATGCATATGCAAACGTAATACACGTTGCGCAGTATTTTAGGCATAACATAAACTTTTTTTTAAATTATAAGTACTATTTTTATAATTGAATTTACCTCCACAATTTCAAAAATACAGACGCCCAAATTCACTGATATGTTGATCAGGTAAATAAACATTACTGGCGATATCAGAGAATTGAACAGTTTCTGATGTCTGAAACAGTAGAAAAGACGCGTCAGTACATAAAATAATGAGCTTTCAATAAAATAAAATCCAAAATGTACAACTTACTTGATTAAATTAACATGAAACCGGTGACAGTTTGCAATATTTTCATGACTCTTCTCTGGACTTGAGGCGTCTATCGTCTGACTACAATGTAGACGAGAAATCTTCAACTGCCCCGCGAAGAAGATCATAATAGAAACCACTAAAGTGTCCCACCCGACTACATAGGCACTGACGACGTGGCCCAACACAGTCTGAATGAGCATGGACATATAATATCCTGGAGGTTCTTTACGAAATGGCGTGTACCCATCAAATATGTATAAGTATACGCTTGTTCCGTTCATGTTGATTTGGTTTTTCTGATAAGGTTCCGTAAAAATACTAAAATTAGAGAAGAATGCGAGAGCCCAGAAAAAGTATGATATTCTACGGTTTCTTTTAATGTAACTCTCTATCATGTCACTTTGATTCTTGTCCTCTTTCTTCAGCTGGCTCTGTTCTATCAAAGACATATAGTCGATAAGATTTTGCCATCTACTGAAGTTCTTTTGAAAGAAACAGGATTTTACGATGCCCATATGAAATGGTGCATACTGCAAGATCAGCTTAAGAGATTCGGCATTGAACTTGATAAGGCATTTGATGTATTGGCTGAAGAAGAATGTTATGGTGAAATAAAAGAGAAACTGTTTGAATCTACTGACGGAAGCTGTTGGATCTGAACGCCAAAGTCCTACTAAGCCAAGTAATTTTAGATGAGGACCAACCGAAGGATAAGAAGGGTTTTCCAGAAACTTCAAAAAATGTTGAAGCGACCATGCTTTGTCAGACATTTTGTCGTCTGCGCGAGCTGAAATACTTTGATGAAATGTATTGAAAATCTAAATACTATAATTGCGGTGTAAATTTTTGAGTGAAATGCAGTTGTTACGCGTATTAAGTGGTGAATAATAACAGGTTGCGACAGTCGCTAGATTTGCTATTAACTATTCACGGTAACGAAATATGTAATTCTACGTTACTTAATTTCTATGTATCGTATGTAGAATATTATTTCTATTAAGGTGTGTTATTTTGTTATATTTATTTAAAATAAAATACCATGGTTTCAAACGATTACACAAATTATAATTCTTCTTTAATAAAACACGTAATTTGTTTGCAGGAATATTTCACATTAAAGTTTTGATCGCCTATTTAGGAACGTGAAAATTATCTTCCATTAAAGTATGTTCTCGGCATGTAATTTTTAGATAACCTGCTATAAATCACAAGAGCAGTTATTGAAATTACCATTACCAGCCTCATTATCACTTGGTAGGTTCACCAAACTGTAACTTGGAAATTGTAAAAAGATAATGACCTTACAAATAGGACCAAACTCGGCTCGGAGGGGCTCGTTTCGAATGGCACAAGTAGGTTAACACATTGCAAAGTTAAGCAATTCTAGCCAGGTCAGTCTATGGATGGCCAAACATTCTTGACACAATGAGACCCCTCCGTGCCTTAAAGAGAACATGTTAAGCCATCGATCCTGGTTGCCATACATCTTTGGCAATCGTTACCGGTAGTTGGAGCTCTTAAAAGTCCAATAACAGGTTTTACACAGAACTTCGATATCCCCTAGTACTTGGATTGTGTTGATTTTATGGCAGTCGCTCCACCTAAAAAGTTCCACCGTATTATAGTAGACTTAAAGCCGACCCCAACCTTGTTTTGGTAAAAAGGGTAGGAGGAAAAATGGGCCCAAACTACACGGCTTGGTAAATTGCAACCTACCAAGCCGATCAAACTGAGCAACTTATAGGTAAGTATTCTGCATTGTGGACGGAGATATATCTTGTATTTACATTTGCTTTAAAACTGACTTGTAATCGCATCAATTAGTACAGTAGGCTCATGTGAAGGGCGCGTATATTTTGTATGATCGCTGGGACGAGTCACCTGATGGAAATTGACAAATTTGAATTTGTATTGAATTGTCACAACTGCGTTGCCGCCTTTGAGTTCCTCTTCCCCCAAAGTTAGGGAGAGCGGGGTTTTATTTACCAAGTCACTGACTTGGTGAACTAGCTTGCGTGTTAGGTGTCAGAAGTGCTTTGCCGGTCTTTGCGGTGGAAGTACACGTACTTATATAAAGCATTGCGCTTACATAGCAACATTACAAAGTCGCCTCCTTCACTTTCAGTAATATAAGAAGTCACTTATTATAATGTGAAAACGTGAACACATTTACACATATAAATAAAAATATACCTTTATAAACAAAGTCAATGTAAACTCGTACTATAATGTGCAAACAATGAAAACAAATGACCGCTGTGGCAATTAAAGATATGCAGCGCGAAAGTAAACACCCACGAAATACCACATTGGCGTGTTTTAATGACTATGTAGTACGTAAATGATTATGTAGATAAAAGCAAATGTTACTTTATACAACATTGAAAACAATTTCTGTGATTTTATGCGTGGCTGGCTAACAAACGACTGTTGCAGATTGATCAAACCTATTGGGTTTTTACTGCAGTTTGAATAAGACAATGCTTGAGTTCCTAAGTATTTAAATGTTTTCCAGTTTGTTTGTGCCTCTTGAAAACAGTAGTTATAATTACCCAAAATTGTCTGTGTAGATTAGGTAGCCTAACGATATTCATATACTATATTATATGGTATGCGGTAAGAATGATGCATTACCACTTATTTATTTACTGGTATTTAATAGGTTCATAGCGGCGCGTAGGCGTAGTAGTCAGCATTGATTGTCTATGATATCTGTACCTAACGTAAAACTGTGTTTTTAAAATGCGTGATTTGGAACTTAAGAATACGTTTTTTTTAATTACTGTTCAATGTAAATTATTACTTATTTCAATAATACAATGAATTATAATTTGAATATTTTGGGAATAATCTCTTTTTGATGCGCAAATTTAAAATGGGTTGTCAATTTTAAATTTTTAATTTGGAACCTTCTAATTTTATATAAATTAAATGTAGTGGAACTATGGGTAACTATAGAGTTATATAATAGAAAGGAACAATGAAAGTGCGTCTATTTCCTAAGTTTTAGTAAGAATCCCGGTTGAATGTTAAGCCTGTCGTTATGTCCAGATAAAATCGCTGGCGGAAATTAAAAGGAAATTGTATTTGTTTCTTATACAGCGGTGTTGTCACAATAAAGGCGATATTGTTCGAGGAGCGACGCTCTGTATAAATACATGTTAATTTTCTGTTACAATTATTACCAGCTGAGACGTGAAAATACTTTGCTATACTTATATATATTTACTTATACTTGTAGATATTAATTACGAATATTATTTATTATTGTATATGTCGCCGCGGAGTTTTGGAGGCGCCGGAAATTAATTAAATTGATTATTGTTATTGATTATTTTTGATTATAAATTTCACTCTCTAAAATCTAATTAGAATTTTTAGACAAGATTGTAATTCATAATACTGTATTAACGTGAAGTTTTAATTTTGGTGAGTTAATTTGATGCAAGTCTTTGTGAGTACTTTCAATGTAAGTTGTTTTTACTATTTTAAATGTTTTGATTGCTTTAGACTATCAGAACTTATTTGTAATATTGTTTAAATAATTAAGGCTTGATTTGGAATTCTTAATATGGTTATTTGTGGTAAATTTAATATTACGAAAATACGTTAGCGCCATCTGCCTCCGTTTTGACGCGCACTAGACGTTGCCGCCAGAGTGGCGGCAGGTGGGCTTGAAAAACATTATTGAGAGGGAGTCTGTGACGGATTTTGAGCGGGAAAACAAGTGAGTGTTGAACCTTTGTGCAATTTCTCCCCGGATTCCAAATCAAATTAGTGTCTTGCTATTATTTCGATAGTTATTGAGTTAAAGTCAATTTGTTAAGAAATAGTGTTGAAAAATAGTTATTTAAATGTTGAGTATTAACTTTCTAAGTTTTTCTAGTTGAAGTAAATGAAATTGTAATAATGTTTGACTGTTGAAAAAGAAAACCTTATGAGTTTCTTGTCTGTTCTTCTCATAATGGTAATTCCTTAGCGAACAGACGTAATTTCACCTACCCCCCAAACATTACTGAAATAACTATTAAAAACAAGTCTCAACTCCTTAACTGTTTTATGTTTCATTTAATCGTTATTACCTTCCTAGCTTAAATAAAGACTGTAGAGCCTTGACCGTGATAAAGGTCAACGGTTTTACATTACTTTTTAAATCGAACCCAAATTCTGTTTCGATATATATGTTTTTTGTTGTTGCGGTTCCTAAGATCACGTTCTTGCAGCTGACTACTTCAACTAGGCTTTTCCGGAGGCTGTTTCTTCGTTCGACGGTGCTTTAAGAGATGCTTCTGAGTCGATCGTCAACATCTCCCTTGGAGAGCTGAAATGGATCCAGGCGTCTCTGCCAATAAGATATGAGGATCATGGACTTCAGCGTGTGCTGGACTTTAGCATGAGGTTGCGGACTTTGTCGTACAAATGGCGATCTCTCTCCAATAGGGCAAACATACCCTATGTGTCCGAGGCGGTATCGTCATCATCTGCTCTCAACACAGGTGAGCCGTGTCCAGTAACCTTACATGTCCAGCGAGCATAGGATGATGTTCGTGCTAATGGATCGCTAAAGCAAATGTTGGACAGTGCTATGGGTGCCGATCTGGAGACATTGACGGATCAGGAGCTGAATTACATGCACTTCCGTCATCTCAACTGGGCATCTTACTAGGCGATGACTCTTTGCGATTTTCAAAAACTATTTTCTATGATGCCATGGCATCACTCCGGTCGGCGGTCGAGTTGTCCCCTTCGTCAGTCTCACGGTCTCAATTTTATCTGGAATACCTTGGAAAGTTTAGGCCTGGCCTGGATGCATAGATAACAGTCAAATAATATGTAGAGAAACTCTTGGTATAGTTTTTCTTGGGGCGCTCTTTGTGTCTTTGGGTCGTTTAGAAGATTTATATCCATGAGGGTTTTCGATATTTTTTCTGCCACCAGACGGCGCTTCGTATGCGTCAGGTCCAAACAGCTGTCAGATAGCACAGATTCTTACCGAACATATAATTTTTTAGTGAAATTCTATGAATTTGGAAGTGTTATTGAGTTTATTATAGATTACGGCCAGAGAAAGGTTGCCGAACTGAAGATTGAGTTCAAAAAGAGAGGCGCAAAAGTTTTATTTGCACACATGGCATGGCATGGCATGGCATGGCACTGCACAACACTGTGGCATTTTAGAAAACAATATTCCTTTTGTAACGTTTTTAAGAATGAATAAACCAAAAAAATGATTGAAAAATACAAATCGTGCATGTGTTTTGACAGGTGGTTGGACCTGACGCTACAGTGCTGCCATCTCACGTGGAACATTTCAGAAAAACCTCATTGTATCTAGCGTCTTTATGTCGTGTCACAAGTCTCTATTTATTAATTGTACACACTAGCTAAAGAATTTTTTTAAATATTGAAGCAGTTCAAATTATTTTAAGAAATCCTTTAAATGAAGGTCTATTACATAATGAATTTGGTTTGCCTCTAATTGTGCATAATAATGTTGAGTTATTTTAATTCTGAATTAATTTTCCTCATTTTGTTAATTAAAATTAATAATAAGTGTAAAAAACAAGGGTCCCCTTGGAAGGGCAGGGGTGTTCCGCCTAAGGAAGGGAGGGAACCCCTTTCATAAAAAAAAGGGGACTGATTCAGAGGGATTTCTCTACCTATTTTGAGACTGCAACGTCTCCGGCGCTACTAGAAGAGCAGCCTCTATGTCCTTGCGTAAGAAATCGCAGGCATCCTACTCCGGCTCTATAAAAATACTCTAGGGTTAGGACAGATTAGTACCAGGTGGAGTAAGTGGAGTTAGTAACCTATTTTATTTGTTGTATGCCCTAATAGGTTCTGTTAACATAAAACAAATTAAATAGGTACTAATTAATAATTTAAATAAATTTAAAAAACTCTGAAACTTGCGTGTGTGCTTATAATAATGTAACCTTTCTGCAAAAAATCAATATTAACACCCAACTCAACGGACATCAATGGAAAGTTGAGCCAAATAAACAGTTGAGAAATATTATTATTATTAAAACTGTTTAGACTAACGAAACGTACGCTTGACGTTAACATCCAGAAAAAGTCTCGAGCTTTTGACAGTGCTACCAATTAAGAGGATTACCGCTTAGACCGGTAAACTAATATGTATTATGAATATTAAAATCATTTAAACGTTCTCACGGTTAATGAAAACGAAAAATTATTAGACAAGGTATAATAACATGAGCAAGTTTCAATAGATTAAGTACTTTTTTGTTTCATAATTTAAAAAGTATTTTAATCCTTTGAAATAACGTTTATGTACTTATGGTATTCTAGCGCATATAATTTCTATAGTAGACACCGAGGCATTGAGAAAAAACGTTTGCTGCGGAATTTTTTATAGGTCTGGCAACACTGCTCCGACCCGAACAACGAATGCGTGTGTCAATTTCAATTTGAAATTTGACTGTTACGCGGTTACGCCGAATTTCAAACTGCGTCTGTTGTTTTTAGAAACGTATTTCTGCAATTGGGTTAATTAACAAGACTTGTGACTAATGTGACTTTAATACGACGTGAAGGAACCGTTAAGCCGTAATCGTTTATGTTGTGATCTTCTAAAACAGGGGTCCACATAGTAAACACATCGCAATCTGGGTCAACCATGGTTCGAATAGAGAAGCCACCGTTAGGCCGGTCGAAAGCGGCTGCTGCACCATCCAAGAGTGGATCCACGCTAAACATGACTGCAAATATCAAAGTTGTTGTTAGAGTGCGACCTCTAAATGAGAGGGAAATGGAGCTGAACAACCGGATTATAGTCGACGTAGTTGACGATAAAATGTTAGTGTTTGATCCAAAAGAGGAGATCCGACCATTTTACTACCAAGGAGTCCAGCAGCCGAATAAAAACTTTTTAAAGCGTGCCAACAAGGAATTGAAGTTTATTTTTGACAGTGTTTGTGCTCAGAGTGCAAGCAATAATGATGTATTTGAGATTACCACCAAGGATATGTTGTCTTCCTTGATGGAGGGTTACAATTGTTCAGTGTTCGCGTACGGAGCTACTGGAGCTGGGAAAACACACACTATGATCGGAAACACTGAGCATCCTGGCATCACATATTTGACTATGGAACATCTGTTTGATATTTTAAATTGTGAAAAAGATAGGGAGCTTGATATTGCTGTTTCCTACATTGAAGTAAGTGTGTTTTAACATTCAAATTAGTAGAATAACATTCTAAGTTGTTTCAACAAAATCTAGTGTAGGTGTAAACTTTGAGGGCAGTGGATTGTTTGTTGTTAGTCCTATTCATAAATTAAGCATGAGTTTACCTGTAACTTTAACTAAACTAGAACTTTACTTTAAATAATATAGTAAAATTACCATACTGTTAGAAGTAAAGCCTTTTATTAGTTTCAAACTTACATACATATCATTTGATACATATATAAATATATTTAGTTGAAGAAATAACTTTAATTCGGACTTAGACTTTACAAGTTTGAGGGATTTTTAATAAAAAAAGTTATTAAATAACAGCAACTATTTAAAAAACAAGCTCATCTTAGCCGTGTTAATATTCAAATGGATCCTGACTACTAAGGCAGTGCCTTTGGATGACTATCATTTTCCTAAAGTTCTACTTGGGAGAAGGGTGACCACCTCCATCTGAGGAATTATATCCTAGTGATGCCATTGATTTTTCTAGTATCAAAAAGCTTGGGCAATCTCTCGCAACCGGTCTTTTTTTTTGCCAATTTTGGTCTTAGACTAAAGTTGCCAACAGGTTGAGGGTATCATCATCACCAGTCTTCTATAGTCCGCTGTTGAGTCCAACAGAGAGGTGACTAGGGAGTCCCCTAGTCACCTCTTACAACACCCATGGGATGAACAGGTTTAATGAGTATCATTACCCCTGTTCATCCCTGTTCAGTAGTCTCAATCGGTCACCACACAGACAGTAGTCTAGTTAAGGGCCTTAGTAAAAGTTTCGAATTGACTGTCCTATTGGTCTAGTGGTAGGTGAACCTGATTGCCAAGCCCAAGGTCATGATGATCTCTTCTAGTTCTGAGTGTTTATGACAAGTCCAATTCACGTAATAGGAATTAGGTCAAAATTTAGTTGCAATCAACTCTTAGATCTCACAACTGTCATAAAAGGTATTTTCATAGTAAAGTATTAAACATGCAATGTTAACTGTGATGTGAAAATTTACTCAATAAACTGCTAGTCTTAGTAACGATGGGCCTGTTGGTCTAGTGGTTAGTAATATATTCAAATATTACAGGTCTCCCCTGTTATTGTCTTTATCCTTTTAACGCCTAACTCAAAAAGGGGATGTTATGCGTATGATGTATTTGTATATCTATCTGAGGCATCTCAGCTTCTATACAAAGACATCAATTCAATAGGATGTTTGGTTATTGATGGATGATGGACACTGAAATCACCAGAATTTGTTTTGAATCATTCAAAATGGTTATGTTTAATTTTCAGGTATACAATGAAAATGTATATGACTTACTAAAGCCGTCAAGCACTCCTTTACAACTTCGTGAAGACTCTAAATATGGTGTGATGGTAGCTGGCCTGACACTGCACAAGATCAAGACTGCTCGGGAACTACTTAACATGCTAGAAGATGGCAATAAAAATAGAACTCAGCATCCAACTGATGCAAATGCTGAAAGTTCTAGGAGTCATGCTGTTTTCCAGGTAAGCCTCCTTTGGTAAAAAGTTGATAAGAATTTATTCTTCATTTACATCAAGAAAATAGTGACTCAGCAATCAAGCCCTGTCCCCTGACTAGTCTGGTTGCAGTAAATTATCTTTGTATTTTGTGTATTTTTAAATGCATCCACTTTCATCATACTGTCAAGGCAGGTCATCCTTTGATAAACGGCTGAAACTGTTCCAATCAGAACCTAGACGAATATCCCCCACATAGCCATACTATAAAAAAACCATATGAATATTAATCAATATAAATTTCTTTATAATAGGTATATGTAACAATGCGTTACAAAACTTCAAACCAGTTTCGCATAGTGAAGCTCTCAATGATAGACTTGGCGGGCAGTGAGCGAGCAAGTGCAACTGGCTGTGTTGGGGAACGGTTCAAGGAAGGAGCTAATATCAACAGGAGCTTGCTATCACTTGGTAACTGCATTAACAAGTTGGCTGATGGCAGCAGTTATATACCTTACAGGTGCGTAATTGTAATACTATAAATATTGTTTGTTCGTCCTTTCTTCTCGTAAGGCTCGACCGCTTAAAATTTTATGAAATAAAAATATTTTGACTTTGACTTACAAAATGTATTTAATTTTGGAAACTTGTACATAAATACAATGTAGTATATAAATAAAATCTATGTATTCATAGTGCAATGCAGCATTTGTAGTTAAGCCATAGTTTGGTATATCTTCATTAGATGATATTGAATTAAAAATAGAAGTAATTTAATTTGTTATTTTTTTTAGATATTTAATAAAAAGCTAACATAGACCATATGTGCAAAACACAAATCATTAGGAGGGTTTCAGTTTGCAATAGAATGAAATTTACTGGGTAGACACATCAGACTTACCCCTATATTTAGATGTTGAGCTAACATTTGGTGTCGAATTTCGACTGCAAATATGTACTTAGAACATTAAGTTGATTGTATGTAACGTCATCGTATTTATGGTAGTTTTGATGTTATCTTCATTCTGTTTTAAACAACAAATAATCTGTTTACTTGCTTAAAAAAAACATTTAAATGAAATCTAAGCTAAGTAGTGTAATGTGACCACCCCTATTCATCCCGTGGGTGTGGGTGGGTAAAAGTCGACTAAGGGAGAAAACTACGCAAGACAACAGCACTGCAAAAAGAAGGAAAACTTAAAACAAACCCTTTTTTTTTTTTTTTAACGTGTGGAAATCCCCTCGGACCGTCACCCCACCGGGGTTTGCGGCGGGGTGGTGTGTCGGACTCGGACCGACTAAAACCACACGGTGTGCCACTCTGCGCCTGTAATAGGAGGGATCCGGGAACAGCTGTTATTAAGACATCCGGACCCCTCCTAGCGCCGGCCCGCTCCTGGTGCGGGCTCCGTCTTAAATTTTTTTTTTTTAAACAAACCCTATACCAACCCATCTGGCCAGAGAGGTATAGTAGGCCAAAACCTCCTTCAGAGGAGAGGCCTATGTCCAGCAGTGGTAATCCACTATATAAGCTATATATAAGCTAGTGCTTATATATAGCTTATATAGTGGATTATATAGTTATAAGCTGTTGATGTGACGAAGCTAAGTTACTTCATTAAAACAGAAACAAATTCATCAAACCACTTTATTGATAATTGTAATTAAAAATAAAATTATTGTTTAAGATCTTACCCTTAAAGTAAAACATTGTATTATGAATTATAGACCCGAAAGCAAAATACGTTAACTTTGCAAAGATGATTGAAATGCAATAAAGTAGATGTATGTAATAATATTATATATAATAGATTAAATAATTACACACAAGAATAATAATATTATTATTTGTCCACAAATTTGAAGCAAGAAAATACACCCATACTTTTGATGTAATATCAAATTAAAATTGTACAATTTACCTAAAAGGATAACATATTTACGATTTTAATTAAGTTAACATTGCTTGTGTACTCAAATTTTTCTATATTTCTTTTTGTTTTTATGTTCTTTTTTAGAGATTCCAAATTAACAAGACTTCTAAAAGATAGCCTAGGAGGCAACTGCAAAACGGTCATGATTGCCAACGTAGCACCGTCTAGTGTAAGCTATGAAGATACATATAATACATTGAAATATGCAGCCAGAGCTAACAAGATACAGCTTAGCATTAAGAAGAATATTGTAGACGGGCACATGGGTCCTTCACAGTATGTGAAGATTACTCAAGAATTGAAGAAAAAAATTAAAGAGTTGGAGGCAAAATTGACATTGTCAACTGTCAAAACGGTGTCAAGAGAACCAGATCCAGCAAAGGAGAATGGTATTTCATTTTTTTAAACCAATGGGTATTTACAGAGTAAACATTTTTCAGACTCAATAACTTTTTGTCTCAACTAAAAATAAATTATTTAAAAAAACTCAACATAACTATTCTGATACATATTTATCTGTATACTTATACTTTTTGGGTACTTTTGGTCTGGAATAGTACTATTTTCAAATTTGAAGGGACAGATAGACTTCTTCCAAGATAAAAAATAATTTTCCAAATCAATTCGAAACAGAGCTCTGAGGTAAAAACAAAATCCAACCGAAATGAGAACGTCCTCCTTTTTTTTAAGTCGGTTAAAATCTAAATAATAACCTAACAAAACGTTTGTTATCTCTAAAACATAAACTAATAATTTATCATCACTGTAGGGAGGAGGTCTACGCTTTATTGCCCTTTTCAAGCGGTCGATCATTTGATTGGCAATTACACCAATGAACGCGACAGTTTACCGGCGCGAAAGCCTATGAGCTCGCTTAATTAATTTTTGGAAGTAACTGCGTGCAAATTATTTATTTGCGGCCTTACAATGTATAGAATAGTTTGAATGTGCTCGTTTTGATGTCTGATTTTCCCTTTCTGTGTGTCTATGGTAAAATAATTATTATCTTAAAAGAAATACCGACATCATGATAGATTCTAATGAATTCATTCTTTAATTTGCACCCGTACAGGAGGTAATTTTTCTTCCAACTCGAATGGGGCCAAACGGGAGGTAGGTATACATAATCATTCCAAATAAAAAACTACCGAATGGTTTAATTCTGTTCGGTAGTGACAGAGGTTTAAGGTAATGAACATAACAAATCACCGAACGACCACCGCCTCCTTCCGAAGTCTTGAAAAACGATAGGGATATTTCCAGACGCAAGCATATTATCCTTTAATGATAATACGATGTGTGTATCAGCGAAACAAGAGTGTCGTAAGCGCATCCAAGAAGAGGAGGCGGTCCACGGCGCGCTGGAGGCGCAGCTGCTCGAGCTGATGGCGCGCCAGCGCGTGCTGTCGCTGCGCCACGCGCTGCGCACGCGCGCCTTCTCGCACGTCGCAGACCTCGCGCACCGCTCCTCCACAGAGGCCGTGGACTCGGTACGTGCCTTGTCTATCCACCGCTGCGTAAACTACTACGCCGAACCTCGATACGTATTATTAAAGTTACTTTTTCGTCTAGATGTGCACCGAAGAGATCCCACGGCAGGAACGAGCCCAAGAGAGTTATGTTAAACAATCGGTGCTTCTCGATTCTAAAGTCTTCACCGCCTGGACGAGATGGGACGAAAGTCGCAAAAAATTATATCACCTCTGCGAACAGGCCCTCGCCGCCCATCCCGATCTCGATTATTTCGTACAAAACGTACATTTGCAAAGCAAGCTACGGCAGAGCGGCGCTCTCGAGAGGTTGAAGCAAAAGTTAGTGTCCATACAGAACGCCGAAATAAATGCTTTCACGGAATACATGAGCGATATGCCCAGAATGCTCAAAAAGCTCTATTTGACGCTCAAAGGTTATGACAAAGTACCTCCCGCTTTAACGGCGGAATATTTAGAAGTTATGAAGAAAGCGAAATCCGCGAAAGGCATAACCTGGTCGGACAAAGAGAACGATACCGATGCACATTTTAAATTTATCACAACGTTGGACACGCATAAACCCAGTACGACTTTAGACCTAACCGTCTCGAAAAACGACGCCAATGCGACCGTCGATATTATAACTGATGGCGAAGATTTAACAGACATAGAAAATAAAGAACCCGTCAAACTATCAGCGAAAAAGCGTAAAGGCACGCCTATTAAACTCGCCAACAACGAAACGATTATTATTAACGATTCCTTTGAAAGCTTAGATACGACGAGAAACATAAATTCTGCAAAGAAAATTAAGAGAGAGTACAACATCGCTTCGGAAATTGAAAACTATGGACTTATCGACCCTAAGGACTTGAATTCCACGTTTGTGTTGACCGAAACGAGTGACATAAAGAAAGCCGTCAAAACGGAGGTTAAAATGGAGTCCCAGCCGGTTAAAAGGGGACTCGTTGATAGGACAAACACCTTGCAGCAGAGGCCGGTGACGTTTGGTGACAAAGGTTAGTGAGAATATATTATTTTTGGTTACTTATCAATATCATGTCAGGGTGAAGTTATAAATTTTTATCATTATTATTGTTGTTAATAAAAGAATTTAGGTCATTACCATGCAAATATTGATAAAATGATAAAGTGAACCCAGAAATGAAAATATTAAAATTATTATAATAACAGATTTAACTATTGCTTAGGAAGTCGTCGCTATGATACTAATATTATGCAAATAACGGTTCGTACTACGGATACGATGAAGTATCTTAATAATAATAATAACTTCTCACATCTCGCACACGGCCGTATGATTCCAAACACACATGTGTGTGTATGATTACAGTCATGTGTAATAATGAGTTCATTTATTTTTATATAGAACTAGCTGGTGACCGCGACTTCGTTCGCGTGGAATTTCTTCGTGTGCTGCCTTAGTGAGTTCGATTCCCGGACCAGGCAAAATTTTATAGGCTTTTTATGAGAGAAATATAGCCTAAGTTACTCCTTATATAGACAGGCAACAGGTAAACAACCTGGTAGTAAAATATTATCGAAATCGGTCCAGCCGTTTAGATTACCCGAAACAAACAGACAGACAAAAAAAAACTGGTTTTTAGGCATAGGTATCGTGCAATTAACCGTGTAAGCATAAAAAAAACCTATTATTTTGACACTTCAAATTTTATTTATTTGTATTAATTAATAATAATAACTGAATATGTATAATAATTGTATCACTTTATGATTTAGCGATGTGAAGAGAGTAAGTAAATATTAATAAGTCTCACATATTTACGCCTGTGCCTTATGATTCTGCAAAGACGATACTTAGAGTTTTGAGGCTATTTATCCATTATCCCGCCACTGCTGGTCTAAGTTATGTTTAAAAATACTGTGACTCGCCACTTACAGTAGATTTTGAAGCCCAAATTGTGTCGGATATATATTCAACTTATGTTACCTTATAGCCGAAAACCACTTACCGCAGCGAATAAATATACCAACGTAAAACTGCAGTAGGTATTTACTTTCGCGATTTAATTCGCGCGCTTTTCCCATGACGTAAAGGAGTGCCATGTGTGAAAAAACAATTAGTCTTACATTATACATATTATATTGAATACCTGTAGACTTCCTAAATAGGTTCTTTCCACCCCCGCGTATACCCATGGACACTCACTTTTACACTTCCTCCCCCTCAATATAGTCTACATATGGTTGCCTGTTAAAGATCGCCTTAGAGCGATAAAGCAGCTAATTTGTATTGCTTACAAATCTAGATCTTAATTCTTAAATGTCATGTCCTTCAGTGTGCAATGTCTGGAGGTTGAAGTATAATATCTATACTAATATTATAAAGCTGAAGAGTTTGTTTGTTTGTTTGTTTGAACGCGCTAATCTCAGGAACTACTAGTCCGATTTGAAAAATTCTTTCAGTGTTAGATAGCCCATTTATCGAGGAAGGCCATAGGCTATATATCATCACGCTAAGACCAATAGGAGCGGAGCACCAATGAAGAATGTTTCAAAAAACGGAGAAAATTTATTACTATTGAGAGACGCAGACGAAGTTGCGCGGGTCAGCTAGTAAATTTAATAATTATACTAGTACCTATGGGTTGGAGGTGCAAATATAATAGTGAGTGTCCATGGACCCCTATTAGGTCGATAGAGCTCTTAATTAAATATGATGTCTTGCAGACTGTTATAATTATATACTGTCTTCGGCAAGAATGATCGCTACCCGTGAACCTCGTTAGCTAATGAACATGATTTCTTTTACATATAGTTACATGTTTTCCGTATTGTCTACAGCGAGAATAGTAAAACCCATAGTGGGCAAAGCATTACCGTTCAGGCGCATGCCCGCGCCGACCAACCCGACCAACCCGACCGCCAGGACCTTCGGGTTCGGCTCCAGTGTACCGCGAGACAACTCGCAACAGAAGAATGTACAAGGTAGATATTAATTGTATTTTTCTTTTGGTGTTTGTTATATCTGTAGCGTAGAATAATATATTAATAAATAAAAATCGTGCAGACGATTGATAAACGAAATCACTTTGCAACTCTTTGATGTGTAACATGTGAGCTCTCACTTTCCTGTAAGGGACCATTCTTAAATTACGTTACACCAAAAAAAGGAAGTGTGACGTTGTTTGACAAGGGGTGGGAGGGGTCCTAAAGTTTCGTGACTTCATATTTCAAAATCTAATATACCTAAGTATTATAACGTGAATTTTGAATTATTTACAGTAATTATAAAACATCGCTTTTATTTGTTAATTTTTAAAAATTCTTGAATTTAGATTTTTGTTGAATTGAATTGAATTTAGAAAACGAATTATGGAACTGACTTTTGTTCAATAATTTCTAGATGTAAAATTGTAAGATATGTGTCGTCACACAAGGGAGGGTCCCACAAATGTGACCAGCTGTGACAAGGGGGGAAGAGGGTTAAAAACCCACGAATGTGACGTAATTTATGGATGGCCCCTAATCTATAACACTAATTACCTGAAAAGAGACGATGTGTGTAACAGGAAAACGGGGAAGTGCTCTTTTTTTTAAATTGACCAATGAGAGTCCTCGCGGTGTTAAGAATAGACATGGAAATTATTTCTACTTTTCAATCATATTCATTTGATAAAATGATGGGTTTTAGTCACAGCGATTTCACATGTGATTGTGATTTCGCCATGAACAAAGCTACGTGCTAGCGTAATAATAATAATAATGAAGTAGCAGTGGTTTTGTAAATCAGTCACAGGTCTGGTGAAATAATTTTTGAGTGCTCGCGCTGCTAAGAGTGAGATCAAAGATGTTAAACATAATGCGACTGCTGTAAGGCTCGCTCGTTTTTTACTACTGAAACTAATTTAATGAAATTAATATTGATTATATTTGATTTTGGCGTTTATAAGTTAGAAAAAAATTACAATAAGTATCTACCCACTTCCTACTTACTCCAAGATTCATTTAAGGAATATATGGAAATCTTGATATCAGTGGGTATTGTAACAAAATAACAAAACATAAAAAGGTCATTCATAACGTGCATATATTTAAATTAGCGTTGTTTGGAACATAAATTATAAACAAACACTGTTATCGAGTGCAATATAGTTATCAAAGCACAATAATTATTGATTGGCAGGAACGTGAGTTGTACATTGGCTGGATATCATTTGCACAGTTCGTAATTTACATACACACACACATACACACACACACACACACACACACACACATGCACACACACTGATACACATATTAATATAATCACGTAAATATCCCTGAAGGTGTAAGCAGAGACAAATAATTTACTAGATTCTGCCTTAACTAAAAAAATTTTTTTGTTAGCCTACCGCATAAAGTATGCGTTTTTTGAAATCATCCAGTTGAATTTTTAGTTTAAAAAATAAAAAAATCATCAAAATATCAATATTAAGACTAAGAGAAGATTAAGTTATACGCTAAGAGATTAAAATAAAAACTACCCACTGTTTTATTATTAAGATTTCTCTCATCTCTGGACCCCTGACATTAACAATTATTCTTTTGATTAGTAGTTTTAATCCCTCTAATGCATGAACGTACTTAGTACTAATTCATATCAAAGCCCTAACCCTTCCCCTCCCTGTCCTAATGTGTCTCTGTGCCGTTTAACTAACAGACTTGAAAGTAAATCAAAAAATAGTTGGTTGTAAAGCAGTGAGAGCGCGAGAGCGGGTCCAGACGCATCCCTACATCCGACCTACTGTGAGGAAATGAGAAGAAGAAGAACGGCGTCAAGTGTACATAGAAGAACTCGAGGCGGAGAAGATATAGCGGTATGTTAGAGCATATGGAGTAACTTGTTTTGATTAGATCTTTGTATAATGTATTAGTATCTTTTGTGACGTAAGCCATACTATCGGGTATTCTTTGCGATATATTTTGTGGATAGTGAACTTATTAATAAACTTGGGTCTGTATTTCGAGATAACATTTTATTAAAGTCCTTTAATTTTGTATGGATAGGTTCTGAGTTTCAGATAAATAGAATGTACTTTTCTAAAAACTTACTAGTTCTTAATGTATTTGTGATTTTGAATGACTCAGCATGTAGACATTGTTTGCATTTTTTTTAATTGTAGATATTTTGAAGCTCTCACCTGGAGTGACATCTGTGTTCTTGAATAATGCTGATTGTACAATAATTAACCCAAGGTAGGTTGTGTTAATATGAAATTATTATGGTTTTCTATGCCATGTATTTCACGTTATAGGTATGTATAAATACCATTGTAATTCGTAGATTTTTTTAAGTCGAAGTTTGCAAGCTAAAAATATAATAGCTTTGCCATAGTATTAGAAATTACATCTTGATATTAAGAAATATTTAATAATATGTTATGTGGCTTTTAAAGCTGAATCACAAATTATTCTGACATACATGACTAATTAGGATAAACAGGAATATAGTAATTGTACCAACTTGACTGTTAAGTTTTTAATATTTATTAAACGTCAAAATTGTTCTATACAGATTTGTATGAAATAACGAAAGCTTGACTCTACTTTGTAATATTTTTAATGTTTGCTTTAAAAACAAACATACATTAATATGAATTGTTGTTTCTTTCAAAATCTTAATTAACATTAATTTCAAAAAGCCTTAAATAATTTATTTTAAAAACTTTAGCAAATTTTCCGCTTCCGTAAAATTTGAAAATCAAATTTATAAATAATATATAAATTCGAAAACTATAAAATCAGTAATAAAATTAAGTATTAAAATTTTAAAATGTTCGTAACACCATCTCGTTAACATGTAACATACAGAGGCCCAAGTGTGAGTTTATTACACTTCTACTCGATCCGAGTTCTCGGTTGAGTTTGACGATGTGATTGATCCGCACTGAAATCTGCAATCGCAACGCCAAATGCGCTCGCCGTCGAGAGCGAGTCGATGTGTAATAGACTGACACTTGGGTCTCTGATCAGAGTTTATCAACATTTGGTGCAACATAACAACCTCAGCAACATTTGTACACACATTTATCCTTATTTACGCTCAAATGTTAACTTGTTTCTCTCAGTGCTTTGCAATATTAGTTTTTTTTTCATGACCAATAATATTTTACACTAACATAGCAACAAGCTTCGACTCATTAAAAGAGATGATTTTAAATTCGTGTAATCCTTTTTAATAATCGATTCCATGATCGATTTTAATTCGATTGATTTATAATGAATTATAAATCAATCAATTCAATCGTTATGGTGATCGGTTTGGTATTAACTAAATCGGAAATAGTGATGTGACAACTAAATTCGAAATAACAGAAGTTGATGGGTTTTAATCAAGGCGTGTCTTTAATGTATTACATGAATTTAACATCATTGCTTATTCTTCTTATGACATTAGTATTACTATTCTCTATAATATGTAAACCTGTAACCTGTTTTTATAACTAATTTTGTATACATAGCTTTAATATTATATTTGATAAGAAGTTTGTAACAATTTTATAAAAGTATTGCAAGAGGTATATGTTTGTAACTACGTATTTGAAGATTTTTGCGATTCAGTTAAAGTTGTAAAGATAATGTATTTATATTGAGTAATATTTAGTTTACTTGAGATAAATGCGGATATTTAGGGCAAAAAAAAAACAAAGAATTTGCGTTTCTTTTGTATTTTGCACTATAATGTTTTATGATTCCAAAAATGTCTGGTTGATAAAAACTCTGAATGTAACAGAAAGATAAGACGTATACAGTAATTTATTTAAAAAGTTTAATAAAATTAAGCATCTTTAGCCACGACGTTCAACAACTAATCTAAAATCGTCTTAGATATAACGTCCACAAAATTCTTGCCCCCTTTTATAAAAAGTAAGTACTAACCTATATTAATTTAAACAAATTAGTAATATTTCTTATTATCTCAAATATTGTAAATGTAAAATTCTTTGTATAAAATTAATTATGTTCTAGATCTAGCGAGATCTGTTTAGGTTCAAAAATGTGTATCTAATTTGTAAATGTAGAAAGTAACGACTGAATTATTTTGTAGGAATATTATTATTTTATAAGTTTTAATTTAATTATGATTGTGTGAAGGTTTTCATTAAACGATATGTAACAATATGTCTACCTCTTTTCTTGTAAACTTCTTCAAAAGTTCTTTGAGAACTTATAACTAGGATCTCCTGAACCCAACATTTCGTTTCAAGTGTGCAAAATACATGGCCTCACTCACGAAACACTGGGCGTGTTTGTGGGCGGTGGTTGTCACTTACCATCCAGTGACGGCTGACAGGTATGGGGCCCTATACCATAAAAAAAAAGTTCCGGCTTAATTACCATTCTTGTGATTGTATTTTTAGAATAGGTCAGTAAGTCAGTTTTTTTTTAATTTCGAATTAGGAAATCTTAGGCATCTGTAGATGATTTCATATGTCATTTGTTTTCACAAATTGGCGGCAATTTAAAAAAGTGTATCGTGTATCGAAATAGAGAAAATGTTCGCTCAATGATTTATTACGGCTTTCGTTGCGATCTTACTTAACCAAGCATGTTACGATAGACTTCGATTGGCTTGGCTTTCATTACGAAGCCCATATCGTGCCACTGTTTAAAACTTGTTTATTGAGTTTAGACATGGTCGAAGCAAACTCGCTGATGATTGTCTACAATAACGTCCTTCTACGGCGACTACTACTACTAACGTGAGTGCTGTGAGGCAAATGATAGAAGAGTGACGTGTCAACAGATACGGGCAGACATTGGTAAAAGTCAAGTACAAAAGGTCAATGGTTCCATCGCATGCACGCTTAGAAATGAACGGAGACTACTTAGCAAATACATATATCGAAACGAAAACGAAATATTCTCATAATTTGCGTGTCTAATATATTTTTATTATGTGCTAATAATGACAACTATGGATCAGTGTACGAGAATAAATGCAACCGTTTATAAGCTTCGTTTTACTTTAAAATAGGTATATGTATAATTTAAAGACGCGGGATTACCAAATCTCCCATACCGGGCGATAGTTTTACGTTCGGGAAATCATGGGGCGTCTTAAGCGTGACGTGAGCGGAGGAGTGGAGCACAGGCATGAACTCGTGACTGATTGCGGCTATGGTACGAAGCTCGGAGCACGGAGCAATTCACGCCCGCGAAGGAGAGAGAGCTTTAGTACCTACTCTTTCGGTCCGCCAGACCCGCGAACGGATCAGGTACCGCTGGCAGCTCAGACGCCGGAGGTCGCTAAATGATCTCCGTCCCCCATTAGCGAAGGCCTGGGGGTGATAGTGGAGGCGCGATGTACTCTGGTCCGTGGTCTGGATACCGTGGTCACCATACAAAAGGGGGGCATTTGTAAGTCGTAGATAGCTCGGGGTACCAGGGCTTTTCTTAATAGGTTACACCTGATTCTCCGGCTACTGTTATCCGAGACGATCTTCGGTTTTAGTGGTTCGAGCCCGACATAAACACCCCACCGACGTTCGTTGGGAGGTATCCGAAGAAAGATTTCCGCACGGCAAAAACAGAGCAACTTAATCGGCAATGCACGCGGGCGCTTAAAAAACTAGTGGCGGGCCTGGACGTAAGTAGATTATAATTAGTTTCCATTATACAACAAATCCATTTCCTTATAAAGTCCCACGCTCAAAGCGCCCCACAGACTTAACAAGTTGTCGCAGTAAAGTACGAATGAATGTTAATTTATTTCTATTTTGAAGCGCACTCCAGTGTGTCCTGACCCATATGCAGACCCCATTACATCTGTGTGCACCGCTCGGGTGTCGGAGTCTAATTACGGCGGGTACAAATTGAAGGCTTTGAAATACACCCACCTTTCATGTAGGTATGCCTCTTGTACCGTGTACGTTAAGTTCAACAAATGAGATATTCGATTTCAGAATTCGTAGGCTTACATTGGAATTTAGTCATAAATAGCTGTTTCGCAACGATTTTACTTTGAGCCATTTCAGGGAATTTTAAAATAGTTATTTAAATGCTCGTCGAGTTTTGGGTGAGATATTAAATAGATAAAGACAATAATGAGATAGTTTGTGAGCGACTTAAATGCTTATTCTTTTTAAATAATGTTACTAGAGGAAGAGCCATCCTTCGGCCTATAATCACATAGCACAGCCGTTGCATACGTTACCAATGCACCACCAAGGCAGTCAGTGAAAAGTAAGTTTACACTTTTGATTACCAAAATCGCTCTCCTTATTCTAGGGGGGTGCGGCGGCAACCCCCCGGTAGTGGTGGCAACCTAGGTACATAAGTTGTACCTACTCGAAAGAGATTTCCTCCTATATTTCTCACGTTTTCATAGCTTTCTTTACCTGTATCTACGCTTCTCCTAAAGGTGTAAATGGTAAAAGTGATTTTCGAGCAATACGAGTACATTGACAGCGATTTATTGAATGTGGTATTACGTCTCCATTTATTCGGTTCCGAATTTAGAAGATAGCCTAAATAAAAAATCAGGGACGGGGTGAACAAAAACTTGGAGCACACCGAACGGACCGCAAATGAATTGATTCGACGCAATCAATTTTTTCCTGCCCCTTCCATTCGGCGTACGCACAAACTCATTCACTCCCTCACTTATTATCGGTCAATCATCCACTCAGTCTCACCCTTCAGTTAACTGGAAAATTGGTAATTAGCTATAGGTGATAAAATGTGGCAAGTGTGTTGTAATGAGATAAGGACGGCCAAGGTTATATCCCAACTATTCATCCTCATCCTCCTATACTCGTATATATTTTGTTTTCTTATTATCAAGAACTTAGAACATTTTTTAATTATTTTCTTAATATAAGTTATGATCAAAATATTAGTCAATTAGTATTTTTCATGTTATTGGAAGGGCAGTATCTCCCACCAGAAGTAAGAACTAACAAGTAGGTAATAAATAAAGGTAACTTATTCGATTCACTTGGTAAATGCTGTAGTGGTGGTGTGATAGTGTTTTTTGGCAGAAAAAGAAACAGTACCGAGCGCAAAAAGATTATCACGCGTTGGATGGGTCAACAATATCCTTAATGTTGCAGCCCTGACATTAATATGCAGTATAGTGAAGTGGTTCACACGTGGTTTTTTACATTTAATTGGAACTGGGGTCGTATGTCCTTCAAGAGCCCTAAATCGCAGTTCCAAGGGATTCCTTAGACGATAGAGATAGAGTCGACAGTTGTCAATTTATCCTTTCTTAAGCGCTGGCCGCTGAAATAAGAGGTATCCGGAAACTACTGTTATTAAGACTCCAGACCCTGAACACATGACCCCTTTTTTTTTAAGATAAAGACGGAATCACTTATTAAGGTTTTAGTTACAACAATTAGGAAGTATCTTATCACGGCTCTACAGTAAAAATCACTATGGTTATTAAATTGGGATAGTTAAGTCTATAGGCTTACAAAATAATCTAATTAACTTTCTAATAAACGTATCTAATTAACTAAATCGATAAATATCATGAAGACCTTCCGTAATCTGATTCCTTCATTAATGTTTTTATAAAAGTATATCATTAAATAGTCTGATTTGTTAGATAGACTAAAGTGATAGCTCCAATCGACTTAATTTTTTTAAGCGTTTACCTATGCATAGTGGCCCAATATGGCTCAACTTAGCCGATTTATTCACTTAATCGATATGCACTGTTAGTAGGAAAAGGGTTTTTTCTTAAATAAGTAACAAAGTTAGTATAAGTAACAAAGTAATAACTTTTTTAAATAGTGAATATTTTATTTAACAACTAGCTTTTGTCCGCTGCTCCACTCGCGTGCAAACTAAAACTATAATTAATTTTAGTTTACATAAAAATAATTTATTAAGCAAAAATGCTATGGTATGCAGCAAAAATGGTACTTGTTTACGATATGCTCGGGTTTAATCAGTGGCGGCCTTAGCGATCGCGAGACCCCGAGCAGTTATATCAGTGCGAGGCCCTTCTTATTTTTGTGGATTTCGTTCGTAATGACGATACTTCGAACAAAACATGCAACGCAACACATACTGCTATTTGAACATAAAAGCGTAGGACGACAGTACAGCGTAAGAGACACTGGAAGCATGTCAAGGCAGGCGGAATGAAACACAGATAATCCTCGAACTTAAATCGACCCCGAGCAGCGTGACGGAGTTTTATAACGAGAGGTTTAGGGCGCTCAATTCAGTTAAACATTCTTGTACTTCTACTTGGGTAGTTGCGCGAGTGCGCGAGGCCCCTGCATGAGCGAGGCGCCGGGCGGTTGCCCTGCGCGCCACCCGCAAAGGCCGCCCCTGGGTTTAATCACAATTTTATAAAAAGGATCACTGACGCGATAACACTAATTACGCAAAACGTGACAGCCATGTGTGTACTATCGTGTTTGAGTCACAGCAATAACAACGAATACGTATAATAATGTATGTATTTAAAACTATATATTATTATATTGACTTTATACAGTCCGTAAATTGTTAGCACTGTAGTTTATACTAAGTTAAATAGATACTGAAATCTACGATGTACCTACTTATAAGCAAATCAAATGTATTTAATACTTTCGTTAATCATAATCAAGATAATTATAATTATACTCGAAATCTTTAGTTATTTAAATGGCCAGGTATATGTTTGTTTAGGCTACTTGTTTGACAATCGGACAAGATCTCCACGGGTTGAAAATTAATCTATAATTCTATTTAATACACATACTTCGACCCCAGACATAGGCCTCCCGATGGAAAACCGTGTGGTTTTAATTACTTTGTGTTCACTTAAATACAGTTTAAAATGATTGAAAAAATTAATGATTCTGTATCTGAACAAATGAACTTCTTCCAGTATGTAAATACCAGAAAAAAACATTCGGTTAATCATTCATAACCATCATTCAACATAAAATGCAAAGATTCTAATTTTAAATGTTTAAATTATGTGACATCAGAAAGTGGTATTGGTTCGATCCATTCACAATCTTTCCGAGAAGTTTCATCTTGCACTAATAAATCCTTGTTTGGCCCACGCAATATTACTTTTGCGAATCATTTGAATAGGTCATTTACTAGGTAAGTAGGTACCTGCTACTAAGTTTTTTGCGTCTTATATTCGTTCGTATTCGTACATATTTCACTACAAATACATAAAAAGTAAAGTGATAAATGAATACACATATAAATATTTTTATAATTCATAGTCCGCAGGTGATGTGATTCCATCGGTCAGTCTGAGTAATAAAAAATTACAAGCAGTGTTACAATCTTATTACTTTGTTTAATTATTATAATTTAATTGTAATAACACAGTGTTTATAATATTGTAATTAAAACAGGAAACAAGAGTCACGAAGGAATTCTTAGGAATGTGAATCAATGAAATGTGGCGAACTGCATAATGATCACCATCATTATCAGCCCATCGCAGTCCACTGCTGGGCATAGGCCTATCCCATTTATTAGCAGTCCTTACAATATCATGACATGTCTTTACAATATCAGTGAAAGCTACACTAGGCGAAATCTGTATGGCGGCTTTCAAACAAACGCGATTTTCAGTACGACTAATTATACAACATGGAAATAATTATTTCGGAATGTGTCTGGTGTAGGAAGTTGTAAATAATTGTGTGGCGACGCCCACATACAAAAGAAACAGAAACATACTACAGCGCCATCTAATGAAGACACACCGAACTACGGAGTAAATACTAAATAAGAATTGCTAATCCTGTATCGCGATATGAAGAATTCCCTCGCCGATTAGCATATATACAACTTCCCAACATCAACCGTTGGGGCCGCGGCCCGCCAGGCATGATCACCTCGCCTGGTCGGAGGATCCTCCCTTTGTGTTGGAGGGACATGACACCCGTTCCTCCACAGTGGTGACCCCGACGTGATTGGAAGCAGCCTTCAAAAGGAGCAGATCATCAGCAGCACTATCATGTACACTCCCACAGCGATGAGCAGTAATCAAGTCTCAACCAGCCAGCAACCTCGACCTCTACAGGGATACCACACGCAGGTAGCAACCGCTCCAGCCTGGTTACCTCTACGGCCTCATCAGCGTCTAGGCACAGCACACTGCACCAACGGTCCACGTAAGAAGAGCATTTTCTCTCCCGTCTACGCAGCAGCCAGCCACTACGCAGCAACCGTCCCGACTCACTATGGACTTCACCGCAGCACCGCGCACCGCACGCCATCCCGACTCACTGGGATCAGCGGACTTCAGCCCGACTCACTGAGGCTAGCGGCACTCAGTTCCGACTCACTGGAACTAGCGGCACTCAGTTCCGACGCACTGGAACTACTTACTACTGGCACTGGCACGCTCCACAACAGAGCATAGACAGCTGACTCATCATATATCGACCTCCGGTCTTGGAGGGGAGTGATGTGGCGACGCCCACATACAAAAGAAACAGAAACATACTACAGCGCCATCTAATGAAGACACACCGAACTACGGAGTAAATACTAAATAAGAATTGCTAATCCTGTATCGCGATATGAAGAATTCCCTCGCCGATTAGCATATATACAACTTCCCAACATCAACCGTTGGGGCCGCGGCCCGCCAGGCATGATCACCTCGCCTGGTCGGAGGATCCTCCCTTTGTGTTGGAGGGACATGACACCCGTTCCTCCACAATTGTATCTAATGCGTGTTAGTATACTCAATACATTTATTGCGTTCTATAATGTGATACAGATTATGTTAAGCTTATTAGTTAAGTTAAGATAATTATTTTATATACATATGAATATATATTTACACGTTGGCTTAATAAATAAATAAATAATAAACAGTAGTAAGGATTTGTTGTTTGATTATTTGTTTATCACAGTTTAGATTATTTTTTCGTAAATTATTAGTGACATAAATGATTTAAATAGTAATTTTAACAATTTAAAAGTGTTAATACTTCTAACAGGAAACTTAGTAATTCTTTTTTGCTTTCTTTTTACTTTATAAAAGAAGACAATTCACGCAGTAGGAATATATCCTGTGTAGGACTTTACAAACATACACGAAACGGAATACCCAAAGAATACCCAGACTCAGAACAACAATTTGTGGGTCACACAGTGTTGTCCCGCGTGTCGAGGTAACCGCTTAAAGCACTGCGCCATCCGTGCAGTCAGTATTTAAATTAAGTACTTATATTTCTATTCTAACTTAAACATAGCACTTAAGTCGTAGGGAACTAAGCATCTAACAATATTTTTCACACTATACAAAGTTGTAAGAACATCTAATATTAAATACTACCGTCATAGTTATTACAATGAACATTAATTTCCATAAAATTGATCCAACGCTTTTCCCAAATTTTACTACCACAAGCTAGTAAAGGACGTCCTTCATCCAACCGACACATTCTAGTATATTTATTCTTCGCACAGTGACTCTCACCGACCTTTAAATGTAAGTGGTACTTTGCTCCAGCGACAACTTGATACGTAGCCATTTCAATTTCAACCAGCATCAGTGCCCTGTCTCCTTGATGTTGGCTTCTTAACTTGCGCAAGGTCGCCTCCGCTACTCTCTTCACGTTTGGATCATCTACGGACATATTTCTGACGCCTCCCGACCTCAAAACTCGTTGCGGTAATGCGAAACTGATTGCTAAGTTCAGCAATACACACGCCGACAAGATGAAAATTATTCGCTGTATCGCCATCTTTAAAATGCCTTTATTATTTTTACACCAAAATAACTTAAAACTGTGTGTTCACAAAATAAACTTTCACTGTTTATGTAGTGCAAGATGTTGAACTGGTTTATATGATAGCAGAGAGGAACCGTTAATTACTGTTGGATCCACAAATCACCGAGAATTAAAACGTATTAAGTACCAGAAGTGACAAAACACGAGACGTCAAACACACGCGCGAGCTTCCCTGTGTTTAATATATACATGCCCAGTGTGTTTCAATTTATAATTATAAGCTATTGATAACATTGTGTACCGAGTGAAGGCCCGATTCCCCTACTACTCACGTTCCCCGTTAGACGTCATAAGTTAACATAACACGTCGTCACCAGACGGACAGTTCAGGTCAACTTTATTATCACTTTCCTAGTAGTAAAAATGGTTACTAATATAATTCTGTAATCATCATCACCATCGGAGTATTGTGTAAAATGGCTAATGGTGCCATGCTTGACACCAACATTTGTTAGATGTTAAACAGGACAAAAGTAGAAAGTAAATAATTGGAGTAAGAATCAGTCTGCAGTAACTCGAAAAGGAGTGTTGTAAACGCTGTTTACGCCATAATGAGATCAAAGAAATATATTTTAACTTACGCATTTAAAATATAGTATTTAAATACAAACACCTAACATAACTAAATCTGAATGCATAACACGCTGTTCCTTTCGCACACTACCAGCTTCCGCTTCAATATCCCTCATAAAAATGATATCAACGCTTACGCACGAGATTCGCATAAAAAATATCAAAAATAATTAGTAAACTAAACACTCGCGTAGGATTTTACGTACGTATATCTAAGATATAGTATACGTACGTAAGATCATATTATACGTACGAAAAACCATACGCGAGTGTTTCCTGAAGTCCCGCTTATCTAGTGAAATCTTGTTATTGAGAAAAATAAGAACCGGCGACCAAAAAGGGGAATTATTGTTGGGTTTGAAGCCAAGTGCGCCGTACTCTGCAGCGAGAACCTTCCCGCCCCTCGTGCCCATTTGACGGTCCTGGGATTGAAGAAGCTCCTTAGCAAAACGGGAGACAAAATGAAGTAAAATAGGCATACACCCTTTTTAAACAGGGAAGCACCACGGCCACAAAATATTACGGGTCCTAGGTGAGCTATATTGGATTACTATGATATGTATGGCAGAATCGCCTCAACGCACGGCAATTCACCCTACTGCAAAATTCAAAGTGTAATCACAGTGTGCGAAATTCAAAGAAATATAACTTTGAAACCTCTTGCGATGCAGATTTCCGATAACCGAAAGCCATATCAACCAAGTCAGACTCCAAAACTTTTCACTCTCTATGGTTTTTAACGATTAATTAAAAAGTTTAAGTGTTTAAATATAGAATTTCAATTTTGAATAAATACAACTGTGCCAAAAGTATCATTTAATATGTCTAATAGTAGTCAGAATGTTTATAATTCGGTAACTAGCACTGACATGAATATTTATCGACATCACCGTACTCAATAGTCGTTCCAAGATTATCGACTAGCTTTTACGAGTTGGTTAAGTTGATATCTCGATCATAGTCTTCATCAATTTTGATTTAACGTTGTTGGTTATTTTGATACCCGTTGAATTTCAATAATCCACCAAGAAAGTTAATTAAATTATTGCTTTTATTTGTGTAAGCGAATAAATATCTTAATACTAAAATCAATCGATTATCTTAAATCAAACGGATCTCGTAATTTGAAAACCAGTGTTGCAGTTTTATCAATTCTTAATCTTCTCAAGTTCTTGTTCAATGCCACTGACGCGGAACTCAACTACCCAGGGCATTTTAACATATAGACGCGACTATAAGACTAACGGTTTTCCAATGCCAATGAGAAGTTTAGTAATATTGTTTTTAATATAAAACTTCTTTCACGTACAAAATTTGGTATAATGCCAAACCTAGTAATAAAGTACGGTATCTAAAAATAACGGAAAAGATTGTGAAAATAGAACGATCAAGCAACAAATCCAGGATGCTTTAAAAGAAAAATAATTTAGTCGAATTTTAAACTTTTTAAACGAATTTCCTGTGCTCCGGTAAAATATGGTTGAAGTACACATGAATATGAATTTACGAGCTTCATTTAATATTTACGTAATATGTAGGTGAACAAAATAAGCTCGCGTTTGTAATTTCAAAACTGAATTCTGTATTTCTCAGCAAAACAATGGAAACAGTTGGTTTGTATATTAAACTATCTCGATTGGTTAAAACGTGTATCTAGTTTTCTACTCTCATAAACTTGTCTGACTGTAGCATAATTTTAGAATATATAAAACTTGCTTTTGCGTGCAAAACGTGGAAATAAAATAAAGTAGGTAGGTACTATTAAAATACTCGTAAGAGGAGTGTAAGTTGTGTCAAAAAAAAAATTAAAGCTTCGCAGACAAGTATGAGAATCGTTTATAAGGTTACCAGTGCCTACAGCGACGTTATTTGTGCGTTAAGAAGTCGCGCTAAGCCTATTAGCGAATAGAAAAAAAACTACACACTACACTATACAGATTAAAAAGAAAGTACCTACCTACATACTGTGTGTACCTTCGCAGAGGTTAAAGTTTAAACAAGGTTAATTTACTTTTTAATTACAATATTAATAAAACAATAATTACATATTAAATCAGTATTATTAAACATAATATGTTTAAACATAATTCTTACAGATTTTTTAATGCGTCGTATATAGATAATCTATACTAATATTATAAAGCTGAAGAGTTTGTTTGTTTGTTTGTTTGTTTGTTTGTTTGAACGCGCTAATCTCAGGAACTACTGATCCGATTTAAAAAATTCTTTCAGTGTTAGATAGCCCATTTATCGAGGAAGGCTATAGGCTATATATCATCACGCTAAGACCAATAGGAGCGGAGCACCAATGAAGAATGTTTCAAAAATGGAGAAAATTTATTACTATTGAGAGACGCAGACGAAGTTGCGCGGGTCAGCTAGTGTCTGATAAAACGGTCTGTATCGTACGTATGTTCCCTGGAGGACAGTTAACACTGTTCACAGATCACTACCCCCATCGGACAACAAATGTACGAAACTTCCACTATTTGCTTTCTTTTTTTGTGTGGGTTTGTTTTTCTTTTCAAACGATAGAATATACGGGCAAACGAAGTTCGATGTAGTTTGTTCTATTGCAAGGATATAATGTATAGATACTTCTTTGTTGAATAGGGCTTGTCCAAGGTCCTTCTCTATCTTGTATTTACTAGTTTTTGTTCTGTGATAATTAAACAAGTAATTACAAGAAACTTTTAAAAGTTAATATGACGTTATCTCCTTTACAAAAAATTTAATCAAATGCAATTCACTCTACTACATTCTATTCAATTTTTTTGCATGTACGTGAAGACTTTCTTTATGGTATTGGTGGTAAACAAGTCCTATGATTAGAGGGCTTAGTGCAAGTTTATTTCACATTAACTCGCTCTCGACAGCAGCGCGTTACGCGGTTGTGCTGGTTTTGCCATCGTGGAGGCGCTCCAGCCGGTCATCGTCGAGTGGGCGGGGTGGCAGCACATGACCCTTTCCTTCCGACTAACGCAGGTTCTTTCCGAGCACGGCTGCTTCGGAAAGTACCTGTAGTCGGTCGCTAGGAGGGAATTGAGTCACCACTACGGTTGCAGTGAGGACTCGGCTGAGCAAACGCTGGTAGTTTGCCCGGCTTGGGCGTTGCAGCGTCGCGTCCTCATTGCAGTCATTGGAGGGGATCTCTCACAACCGGGTCATACGCTCCATAGCCGATAGTGACAGTTGTTTTACCGCGGTCGAATCCTTCTGTGAAGACGTCATCTCAAGAAGCTGACAGAGAGGGCCCGGGAGGATGATCTCGATGACGAACCGGGTGGTGGAGGCGCGCTTACCAGTGCCTCATGCCGCCCTGAGTGTGGCCGCGGGTAGACGGGACGGGTTTTTCCCTCCACCCGCCATAGCGGCCAGCCGCGAGGTGGCGCCGTTCGCATGTGCCGGACGTTACCTAAATAGAGAATGTACGAATGTAATGAAGGTGGTGCCTGCGACGTTGCGGGCTGGTGCTAGGAGGGGCCCGGATGTCTTAATGGTTTTAGTCGGTCCGATTCCGACACACCACCCCGCCGCAAACCCCAGTGGGGTGACGGCCCGGGGGGATTCCACAGGTTAAAAAAAAACAAAGTATGACTCTCCCACGTAAAACTTAATAAACATCACTACAGACTTAGGGATATGTAGTTCAAATGCTGTTCGAAACATTTATAGAAAATTATATTTATCCTCTTGCTGTTTGTAAATCCTTTTGTAATTGTAATCCTTTCCTATGATAGTATTTTTGTGCTAATAACATTACATATAAGTATTATCTAATCTCAGCGAAGGAGTATTTTATATTTTCAGAGTTGTGCTTTGTATATGTTTATACAGTTTAGGAAATAATAGTAATCACAACATTGGGTAGGCATCATGAATTTACGCATTATTAAGAAAAAAACATAATAAATATGTATACCTTAAGGAATCACTTAGTATCTGTTTTTTGAATAACAACACGCAGTTTATGGCAATGTTATTATACTTTTATGAGGCGCTCCACGTTAACACATATTAAAACTTATTGCTCTTATTAAGACTTAATCTATCAAATGAAACATACTTTTAAATTGTGATAAGGTCAATATTTTACTCACGTAATCTTATAATTAAATTAAAAAATACATGATAACTATCAAAAGAATAGTTGTAAAAAAATCTAGTATGAAAGGGGGAGGCTTAGCTTTACATTGACGTCCATCGAGTTGGAAGTTGATATTTTTTTACAGAATGGTTATATTATTATAAGCACACATGTAAAAGTTTCAACTAACTAAACTATTGAAATGAGTACAAAATATAATTATTTACTTAAATTTATATAAAATAAAATGTTACCGTGTTATGAGTACTTAACCTTAGTTAAAACGAAACGTTCCAAAGCGATTTTTTTTTATATAATCTGTGTAAATAATGCGAAAATAATTGATTTTCAATATTTTTTGCTCAAAAACTTCGCGTCTCCGCGTGTTGAAACTTGTACGTGTGTGCTTATAATAATGTCACCTTTATGTAAAAAAATTGTCAAACTCCAACTCGATTGACGTCTAAGTAAAGTCGTACCATATTTTGGACTATTAGGAGAAAAATAGTCATTGCAGCCAAAAATGGAACTGACTGACTTGATTGAACATGGCAACAGTTAGTCAAAATTCTATCTTGCTGTCAAACATGACGATCATTGTTTTTTTTAATAATTCTTCTATTCCTTAAAAATCGTTCAATAATTTTATGCTTGATATTTTATATCAATGAACTTAAAATAAAGACTGGGTTTAAAAACACGACAACAGTAGTACTGGTGTATGGAGTCCTTCCACCAATTCTCTTTCTTAACAATCATCTAGCTTGCTGATGGACACATATTCTATGCTCATAGGTACTTATATTCTAATTTCGAAAGTAACTCTGTTCCATCTGGTATAATTTCGCAATTGAAAATTTCAACGTTTTTAGTATATATATTTAGTATATAGACAGCACTCTTAGTTTTATGCCGAAAAATGATTTTCTGGCGGAATGAATCTGATTGAAACCGAAACTTAATTTGTATTCAGTAGATCGCCTATTTCATCATCATCATCATCATCAGCCTATCGCAGTCCACTGCTGGACATAGGCCTCTCCCATTGCACGCCACTTAGATCGATTTTGGGCTTCTCGCATCCATCGCCTATTTATCTTTATTCAATTACTTTAGAATATAAAAAAATCCAAATGCTAACTATTCGTTCTTAATTAGGTTGAATTTAAATTTCATTTCCAATGAAAATACTTTTTAAAGTCTTATAATGATTCTCAAAAGCCAAGGATTCAAAACTGTGATACAATTACGGCAGGAATTGTAAACATAATCAATGTCAAGATTGTCAAGTGCCAACTATGACTGATGCAATGCAAGCGTGAACTTTATCAGTGCGCGTAGATGCCGCTAATTTTTAGTTTCGTGTAAAACGTAAACATATTGTTAAATTAAACTGACGCTGAAAAATCTAGTACAGGTAAGTTTTACGCTTTAAAATATGTAAGCATTGTATACTTACTTTATCAAGGTTATCTAAAATTAGAAAACCCGCAAACACTTCCTTATAAATGTAATATATATTTTAAATTTTAATTAACTTGGTAGATTGTAATTATCTAAACAGCCTAATTATTTATTTTATGTAATGCTTCTAAAACTGGTAGCGTCATCTAGTTACGTTTACGAGTACTATCGTACGTTTTTCGTCGTTCCTTTTTTGAGAAATTTAAGAAGGCAAAAATTGTATTCTATGTAAATAAACAAGTAATGCAATCATATTATATATTATGTATTTTCAATAAATATTCCTTGAATACGAGTATCGTACGTTTGTGGCTACCGTTAGTAATACGGTGTGCCGATTGCGTCAGGTTTTTGGTTAATTGTTTTTTTTTATAGATATATCTTTCTCACTTTGTGGTATCACTCCTGTCAAGCCGGCTCATATGCCGAATCATGGCTGTCCCACGGTAATGTAAAGACAAAAAAATTTTTTTTTGGGTGATTTGGGAAATACTAAGTTCGTTGACCTAGCGACGCCGCGACGGTAGAGCAACTGCACCGTTAGATTTGCGTTACTCTGGGTGTATCATGTCTCATTAGAATAAAAAAATCATAAGTAGAATTCATATTTATTGAAGATGTGAAGGTGACGGAATAAGAAGTGACCGAGTGTCAACACCCCTGTTCATCCCGTGGGTGTCGTAAGAGCCGACTATTGGAGCAAACTACCCAGGACGACAGTAATGAAAATAGAAGCAAAACTTGTAGTAAACCCCGTACCATACCAACCCGTCTCGCCAGCATGCCATAGTCGGCCCAAATCTCCTTTCTAAGGCAGCCCCGGATCTTCGGCAGTTTCAGGGGGCCCCAAAATCATATTAAAGTATGAGTTGAAGCCTGGTTGGCTCACCGTCGACTTGTAAAAGTGTAAGAAGAAGAAGTGGAAAAAGTGCACAAAGCTAAAGTTTTAAGACAATATCTTAATACTTTAGCTTTGTGCACTTTTTCCACAGATAAAAAATGTTAAGTATTCCGAATATGCTAGGTTAACATGCGCCTTATTTGTTTACAAAATGGTAGGTACAAAGAGTTACTAAACGTATTAATATTGCAGACACTGTTAGTGTCTGAAACATATTAAAAATATAAAAATAAAACTGAAATTCACAAGGTTCATTAACTAATTATTTATCATCAATCATTTACGCAACTACCACCACTATTAATGTAAGTCGTGTATTGACACGACTTACATGAATAACTGACCTAAAACCATGCCTCGCCATGTCCCGATTTTATTTTCGCAATTATCAACGATCAACAGCAATTGAGGGCTATTTTATAAATTATGAACAATTTAAACGGTCTCTATGCCAGTTGTCCGTGAACCTAAATAAGTAGCTCCTTATATGATCTTTATATATATGATTTTTTCCCCTTTGTGATCCCAAAAGCGAGCGCGCTCCGCAGTGCGTCTCGCCGCCACCCCGGCCTGCTTCTAGGGTGCTAGGGTGACAAATGGCCTCACCTGTCACACCCAGGCCTGCGCTTATAGAGGACGGAGGTTGTTCAAGGCCTGAGTAGTCTGCGGTAGGTACCTGACCCGCCAGGAGAGTTCTAACCGTCTCCTGGTCCCGCTCCGAGTACCCTGGAATTGTAATCGTCTATCGGCTACGTTAACCGCTTACTAACCTAACTAACGGGCTTGCTTGTTTGCCGCCGAAGTAAAAACAATAATAGGAAATAAAAAATTGTAAAAACTTGTAAAAGCTATCAAATTTCGATTGTCGACATTTCGGATTTAGATTTTGTATTCATAAAATTATTTATCATGTTTTGACAAGGTTCAGCGGTGATTTTGCTAAATATCAACTATTCACACACCAGCACCAAACTGTGACCACACTTATTATTTCCAATTAAAATATAATAACCCCATTGAACATATAAACATGTGTAAAGTTTACACACATTACTTTTATGAATATAGGAATGCATGTATAATCTGTACAATATAATACATGTCTTTATTACAATAAGTGCTATATTACTGTTACTATATTAATATCATGATTAGATACAAAATTATTTAATAAATAATAAGATAAGAGAATTAAAAAAAACAAGTTTTTTCCAAAACTAACGAAAGTACAGACAAATAAAAAGGTCGATTTGTGTGAATCTATTAATAAATGTACCAGATAGGCACGTACACAGCTTATAAAAAACATTTCATAATTACTAGGCATACTATAAAAAAATAACCGCGGATTTAATATATGGATCACAGAAAATTAGTTTTCACGTTCAGGAAACACTTCTTATCGATTTTTGCTGAACAGCGCTCTCAATCAAATCAACTGCTGGCCTAGTGTAACCCAATTTGATAATAGAATTTAAACGTATTTAACTCTCAAATCTCGTGGCCCAACCGACACTTCAATTCCACAAGTAATATTTGAATTAAACTGGAGAACTGGAGACGATTCGAGCCTCTAGGGGACGGTGTCGCCAAAATAGAGTAGTGGATCCCAGAAATGGGTTGGCGGCCTCAACACGGCTCGTCTTGTACCGGTTAATTGATTTATGTATTCCACTCCCGTAGGCTCGGATTAATAGATTTGTTGCTTAAATAATAATCCGTGATGAATTTAGAATTGGCAATTTAAGTTTGGCCTGAAGATCCCAAGGATTTGTTGCCGAGTGTTTATTATTCGGATTGAACAAGATTTCGGGTTTATTCGCTGTCAACTTGTTTTGACGGATTTGTTAATTTTACCAAAGATTTATGACGATTTATGTGTTTGCCAAACGATTCTGAAACAAATTGTAGCTGGTTATACTCGTAGATATATATTCAATGCCATATTATTTGTTTAGGAATGTAGAATGGCATTGACCCATAACGAATGTTCATTATAAAACTGTTGTGAAATATTTGTTTTATAAACGGCTGAACTATTTGTGTACAAACTTATGAATAAATAAATAATAACATTACGTTTTCAAGGGCGTTTTTTCATTGTTGCAATCATAAAGTACAGAAGTCAGTGTATGTAGTCAAACTATGTAGAAGAGTAAGTAAGTAATTAAGTAAAGATAGATTTGGCTTACTTTAAGAAATGAAAAAAAAAAACCTTTCTGCAGGGACACAAAGTTCAATGTTAATCAAAGTGAATATATTAAGCATATGCTTACAAGAACTTGTAATTCTGTGAAGCAACCACATACTTAGGAAGGAGGTTTAGAAACCTTTTTTTTTTTTTTTTTTTTTTTTTTTTAACGTGTGGAAATCCCCTCGGACCGTCACCCCTCCGGGGTTTGCGGCGGGGTGGTGTGTCGGACTCGGACCGACTAAAACCACACGGTGTGCCACTCTGCGCCTGTAACAGGAGGGATCCGGGAACAGCTGTTGTTAAGACATCCGGACCCCTCCTAGCGCCAGCCCGCTCCTGGTGCGGGCTCCGTCTCAATATTTTTCCTCTCTTTAGGCGACGTCCGGCACACGCGGACGCCGCCCCCTCGCGGCTGGCCAAACTAATGCGGGTGGAGGGGAAACCCACCCCGTCCACCCGCGGCCACACTCAGGGCGGCATGAGGCGGTGATAGGCGGGCCTCCGCCGCCCGGTTCGCCGGCGGCGGATCGGGTCCGAGTGGAGGTCGTCCTCCCGGGCCCTCTCCGCCGCCTCCTTCCGCAAGATTATTTCCTCGCAGAAGGTTGCGACCGCGGTAAAACAACTGTCGCTACCGGCCATGGAGCGTAGGTACTACGGCCGGCAGCGAGAGATCCACTCCGATGACTGCGGTGAGGGCCCGGCGCTGCGCCGCCCATGCGGGGCAGACCGCCAGCGTGTGCTGGGCCGAGTCCTCACTGCAGTCGCAGTGGTGGCAGGCGGGACTCAGTTCCCTCCTATCGACCGGGTGCAGGTACTTTCCGAAGCAACCGTGCCCGGAAAGCACCTGCGTCAGCCGGAAGGAAAGGGTCCCGTGCTGCCGCCCTGCCCACTCGGCGATGACCGGCTGGAGAGCCTCTACGGCGGCGAAGCCAGCGCGTCCAGCCGGAACGACCAACGAGCCATCGTGGCTCGGCGAGCGGCTTCGTGCCACTCGCGCACATCCTCGGGCGGAGGGCGAAATCCGCTCTCCGCCCGGGAGTCAGTCACTCACCGATAAACTTCGGCGAGCACTTCCGCCTTCAAATCCCACGGGGGAGTTCCGGCCAACGCGCATGCCACCTCCGTCGAAACGGTGCGGTAACCGCGTATGGCTCTGACCGCCATTACCCTCTGAGGGCGCCAGAGGCGTGCCCTATTCTGGGCGGTCAGAGCCGCCGCCCACACCGGTGCACCGTACAGTGCCATTGACCGGACAACCCCCGTGTACAGCCGTCTTGTCGCGACGCTGGGTCGACCCAAATTGGGCAAAAGTCGCCCTAGGGCAGACGCAGCGCCGACCAGCTTTGGAGCAAGCTGTCGGGAGTGCTCGTCGAAGAGCCACCTCCCGTCGAGGATCAGGCCCAGATATTTCATTTGGGCCCGAACCGGTACGAGGACCGAGTTGACCACGATTGAGGCGCCAGGGGGTGGACCACGACGGGGCCCATGAAATAACAGGGCCTCCGTCTTATCTAGGGCCACCCGTAAGCCCAGCGCCGCAATGCGCCCGACCACCAGGGAGACTCCCCCTGTGGCCAGGCGCGCCGCCTCTTGGAAGTTTGCCCCCCGGGCTGTCACCAGGGTATCGTCTGCGTAACAGATTACACCCAGCCCGGGGGGGAAATCGGCGCGAAGGGCCCAGTCGTGCCCTATGTTCCACAAGAGGGGTCCAAGAACAGACCCCTGTGGAACACCGCACGACATGGGCCGACACCTCAAATTACCCTCTCGGTCCTCGTACACGACGGTACGCTCCTCTAAATAGTCTGCCACTAGCCGCCTCAGGTACTTTGGCACCCCATGATAGTGGAGTGCTTCCCTGATGCAGCTGAATGGCAGACTATTGAATGCGTTGGCGATGTCTAATGACACCGCCAACAGCACGCCGCCACAGCTCATGGCCTCTTCGGTCACGGCCCTCAGGCGCAACACGGCGTCGACTGTCGAACGCCCCGCCCGAAAACCAAATTGGGCGTCCGACAGATCGGGGCCCACCTCGTAGAGGTGCCGGACGATGCGGGCAGAAAGAACCCTCTCAAACAATTTACCCGCCTCGTCCAGCAGCACGATGGGCCTATAGGCCGCGACCGAATCGGCAGGCCGTCCCGGCTTCCTTAATAGGACCAGCTTCCCGCTCTTCCAGCACTCAGGGAAACGTCCCGACGCCAAGCTAGCGTCGAACACCTCCCCGAGGCGGTCTGCCATGTGGTTGAGGGCCAGGGCCAGCACTCGGGCCGGTACCCCGTCTGGCCCAGGGGCGGTGTTCTTGGAACGGATCCGTAGAACAGCCGCCCCTACCTCCGAATCCCGGACGGGCGGAACATCATCCTCCTCGTGCTCCCCGTCGTCTCCAGCCAAGGAGGCCATCGCCGGGGGAGGTTTAGAAACCTAACCTAAGGAGAGGCCTATGTCCAGCAGTGAACAAGTAAAGGCTGATTAGTTTGATTACAAATATAGATTTTTCTGTTTGATAAAAATGATTTGAAATAGTACATCTTCAAGTAATGAAGTATTTAGCTTGTTTTGTATCTAGGCTGACGGAATTATGCATTACAAGTTCGGTGTTGTCCTAAATTTAACTTCAACATGAAGTTTCAAACGAAAGTCTTGAAAACTATGAAATTGTTATAAACTATACTGCTAATAATGTAAGGCTTTAATAATATTTGACTAAAATATTAATCATTAAGATAATGTCTGTATCCTAAAAAACCTTTCTAGCTAGTACAGTCTCATTGTTTACCCATCCTTTTCCTAATTCCATCTTCTTTTCCTAATTCAATTTTTTCCTAAAGACATCTGAATCTTACATTTCCAAGGAGGTTTGGCGTCATAAAACACAAAACCCTTGATATGTTAAACACCGGCAATATATAGTATTGTGGTCAGAAAAAAAACGGCGTAAGGGGTCTATGGACGGTCGGAACAAAATGTCGGAAAAAAGTCTTGTTACACATTTTTCGGTCTCGCTCCCATCCGCTCAGGACGTGTAACGCGCGATAAGGAACTTCGTTCTAATAGTGATGATGATGAATAGGAACTGCAACTGTTTTATAAAATAATTGCGATACGTTTTACCACAATTCGTGGGAGGGGGGAGGGGGAACTCAAAGGACTTGAGACTCTTGAGTTCCATGTGTCCAATGGCCCCGGGAGCCACTCATCATCAGGTAGCCCGTCTGCTCGATTGCAAAAACATTACAAACTCCTACCAGAGAATTAATAGCAAATAAACTTCTCATTACATTATTCGTAACTACCTAATTCTAAACCTCTTTGTTTCAAAGTGAATCAATGCTTTAAACGTTTAGTAACTTAACTAACTCTGAGATAGTCGACTCATCCTTATCCTAATGTTCACGTTAATGGTTCAAGTTTCTACTTAAATTCGACTGCCTAATTAACTCTAACTTATCAGTTTAAGTCCATTGTAAAACTAGCGCCATCTTCCTTATTTTGTCTCTTAATTCATCTGCGTTTTGTTACTGTTTTGTTTCTGAAAGTGATTAAAGATATAAAAGATTTATAATCTGACGTTTAAAAAAAGATGTCTCAGCAAGAGTGGACTCTTTCATTTTAATAATAAAAACACATATTTTATGAAAGAGTTGTGATATTTTTATTGGATTGTAAAGAAGAGATGATGGTAAAGATAATCGAAATAATAAACGATTACAAGTAGCCTACAAGAGTTTTAAGAAGAAATTAAATGACACCCGATGAATGAAGAGATTGAATTCAAACATAATTTTTATTGTTACTGAATAAATGCCTAATGAAAGAAAAACAATACATTAAATTACATTTGGCTGATTGTTTTTTTTTGGCATCTGATTTTTTTTTTTTGTAAAGATTATTATAATTTTGTAAAATAACTTAAAAATGAGGTTAGATTAGAGGTTAGATAGATTAATATAATAATGCATCTTTCGTTAAGGACTGACAAAGCTTGTTTTAAAAAAGTATTCAACTTGCTAACAACAGCATTTCTTAAGTTACTCGTACCCATCTAGGACAGGGAATAATTAAATCCACAAGCTTTTCTCTGTATAAACTATTACCGTTAAAATCCATAAACTTGGTTAGCAGTAGAAAAAAGACAGGGCTCCTTTCAACTTGTACGAACTTTGTTTATTAGCTAGTTGTACAGACTTAATTAAAACTTTCCTTTGCCTTTTTACTGTTTACATCTTAAAAGTAAAACGTCTGTTGAATAATTTCCTGTTCATGAAAAGTTGTGATTCGGTAGCTCTCTTTCATGTTGATATTATACCGATATTTGGCGATATTTGTGCTGAAACATGGGCCAAACATAAAGAGCCTGCTTACTTTGCCTTATTTTTCTACATTTTATTACTATGCAGTATTAGGATCCTATATTATGTTTGAACACTTAGAAAATGCGATGCAATTATGTACTTACTTATAATTTCTGATTGATAGATAAGATGTGTGTAGTAATGAACAGTTTTAAAACCTTAATACTTATTACTACCAACATTTAAAAAATAATTTAATTTTTCTCTGCTTCATGACTCCTTCCAAATTTATGTAAGTTAATATAAACCTCAGAATAAAAACACTTACGTTTTTTGTTTCAGGTAAATAATGTGTGGTATTTGGGCACTGTTTGGAATAAGCGAGGATGTGTGTCCAATATGTACGGATGGATTTGTGGCTATCCGCCACCGCGGACCCGATGCCTGGCGCTTCGAGGCCGATGCTCGAGAACCGAAAGCAATTTTTGGCTTTCGGAGACTCGCTATCGTTGATAGCCTCCACGGTATGCAGCCTATGAGGTTACATCTTTACCCCCTGACCAACCTCATCTGCAATGGAGAAATTTACAACTACAAACGTCTGCAGGATCAATACGAATTCCCGTATGAAACTAAATGTGACGTGGAAGCCATCACACATCTTTATCACAGTTTTGGTTTAGAAAAAGCCGTGAAAAGTCTGGACGGTGTGTTCGCATTTTGTCTCGTTGACGGAAAAAAGAAGAAAGTTTGTGTAGCACGTGATCCATATGGTGTCCGCCCACTTTTCGAATACTGGGACGCGGAGAAAGGTATTTTAGGAATTTGTTCAGAAGGAAAGGGGTTGATTAAACTTAAGCAAACCTTTAACGGTAGTTCCACATTAAGACAGTTTCCGCCGGGTCATTACGCTCAATGGAGTATATTAGAGGACGGTACAGTTAAGTTAGATTTCATTGAGCGCTACACTTCACCGGGGACGCCTCCTAACTTTGAGCCGTACGTACCTCAGTCAGATTTGGAGGGGAAAAGCATTGAAGAGAAAACGGCGTATCTCTTGGAAGCTGCGTGTGAAAAGCGATTGATGTCGGATAGACGTATCGGGTGTTTGCTTAGTGGTGGCTTGGATTCTTCACTCATCTCTTCGTTAGTTGTAAAATTAGCAAAAAAACATAACTTGCCATACAAAATACAAACATTTGCTATAGGTATGGGAGAATCTCCAGATTTGATAGCAGCACGAGCAGTGGCTGATCACCTTGGTACTGAGCATCATGAGGTACGATTTGACGAGAACGATGTCAAGGAAGCTTTAGACAGCGTTGTCTATCATTTAGAATCATTTGACATTACCACTATACGTGCCAGTTTGCCTATGTACTTACTATCCAAATACATAAAAGAGAAAACTAATACAACTGTATTGTTCAGTGGAGAGGGAGCGGATGAAATAGCTCAGGGCTACATTTATTTTAGAGATGCCCCTTCCGAGAATGTTGCTCACGAAGAGAGTATTAGGCTACTGTCGGACATTTATCTGTACGATGGTCTTCGTGCAGATCGCACAACAAGTGCGTTTAGCTTGGAGCTTCGTGTACCCTTTTTGGACATTCAGTTCAGTAGTCATTATCTGAGTGTGGAGCCTAAACTCAGACAACCTCAAAACGGCATAGAGAAACATTTATTAAGAAGTAGTTTCGCGAAGAGTGGGTTGTTACCAGATACTATATTGTGGCGACATAAAGAAGCTTTTAGTGACGGTGTAGCTTCAGTGAAGAAGTCATTGTTTACTGTCATTGGGGAAATTATTGCTGAGAGGTCCGTAGATGAGAATGTAGTGTACACTGGCTTACAACCAACGACAGCTGAGTCGAGATATTATCGATATGTGTTTGAGAAGTCGTATCCAGGACAACACGTTTTCACACCATATTTTTGGATGCCAAAGTGGGTCCAAGGTGTTACCGATCCTTCCGCTAGGTTCATAAAACATTACGAGGCCAATTAATATTGGTATTTCATGATGAAGAAATAAGTTGTGTGATTTGTTGTGCAGAAGACCGATAGAGAGGCATTTTTGAAAGATTACATGGTATTGTGTGTTCTGTCTTATTAAAGATTGCACTTTGTATGAAAAGTCTTAAAAGTTATCTAATATTATTTTATGAGATTTGCTCTCTTGCTATATAGCTGTAAATAGTGTTTAACTGAGACACACACATTTGACTTGCTTACATCCTCATATACTATTGTTTTTGTTTTGTCATTTAATTTTTCGTTTCACTGTTACATGATGTGATGTCTAATTTGATCATTAAATGTTAAGATGGAATTTTATGAATCTCTTTATTTATTTACAAGTCCCGAGACCCTCTCAAGTTTCCCAACGGTTTGCCTACTTCTTTCACAAATATTCCTCACTATGAAACCGTTTAAAGTAAAGCTTAAAGTTGCGCATATTATGAAATTCTTGGTCGCTGTGCTACACGCTCAAGTTTAACAAAGTATGTTAACTTCAATAATTGACTTAGCTGTGTTCACCGCAAGCTCCTTCTCATTATATAATCATGATGGTAAGGTTTGGTGTAGTTTGGGCAGACTAATATTGTGATGTTATGTGTGTATCCAGCATTATTTTGTTATTAAAAAAACGCCCGCAATAGGAATAAATCCTGTGTCGCGACGGACTTTACAAACATACATGAAACGGACACAAAGAACACCCAGACTCAGAACAACATTTTGTGAATCACATAAAGTGTTGTCCCATGTGGGGATCGGAGCCACAGCACTCATCGTAGTAGTGAGCGGCGTGGGGACCGCTTAAACCACTACGCCAACCGTGCATTAAGCTGGAGTTTTCTATGTCATATTTATACATTAATATTTTTTTTTAAAAGGCCTTCAGCGTTATAGAGCTGTGTCAAAGCGTGCATAGAGCTGTGTCAAATTAATAATACTTAATAATTTAACTAGTGCGGTTTAGGTTAAGCTTTTTCTTGCATTTTAATGTGTTTAATGGATTTCAATAAACTTTTATTTTGACAGCTTTTAAAAAGCGTTAAGTTTTGGCTTTTTTTAGAATAATTAGAGAAGCTCTATTTGAATTTAAAACAAGTTTCAAAAACACATTTTTACAATTGAAACCAAGAAGGTTCGGAGTTTAACGCATAAATGTGTGGGCGCCTGTAGTCCCACCGTCAAGACAAGCTAAAAAACTATAACAAATAAAGACTCCTATATTTTCCTAGAAGCCATTTAGAACGTTTTCGACTCCTCTGTAACTTCGTTGTGGTTTAGTCTAGAAATCTGCTTTTTAGTAAGTAATAGGCTACTGTATACGTATTGTATAACTCAAGGTGCATTAGCAAATTTTATACCATTCAAAATTGTGGTTTAAGAACGATTGCAAGTCAAATTCTTAAACCACTAACAATGGGTTATTTTGAAAATTTTAATTCAAACATAACTTATATTTATATGTTGTGTAATTTATATTATAAATTAATATTGTAGGAAATATAATTTTTAACGACATTTATTATCATGTTCAATAAAATATTATGAAATAAAATGTATTTGAAAATACTAACATTCTAGCTTCAAAGCTTGTATTGAATTTTGTAAGACGTACAAGCTTTCAAGTGTATTAAATAAATTCTTTCTCGAACATTGTAAATATGTTGCGGGTATATTTTCAAAGCTCTTTGTAGTTTCAGTATTGGATAGCAAAATTTAACAATCGTTTATGTAATGATCACTGGAATACCATCGTACTTACTCATATGTCGGTTCTACTGGAAATATCTTCTACAAGTATTTCTACGTCGTACGTCCGTGTGGTGACGGATTAAGAATACAGACATACAGACTGTCACCACCCCTATTCATCCCGTGGGTGTCGTAAGAGCCGACTAAGGGAGCAAACTACGCAGGACAACAGCACTGCAAAGAGAAGGAAAACTTGAAACAAACCCTATACCAACTCGTCTGGCCAGCGTGGTATAGTATGCCAAAACCTCCTTTCTAAGGAGAGGCCTATGTCCTGCAGTGGACTGTTATAGGCTGTTGATGTGATGTGATGATGATGAAAATCACTTGTCCTGACTGATTAAGCAAAGCATTAATCGCTGGGCTACATACTTGAAATTTTGGCAGCTGATGCTTTTTGTTTGTTTGTTGTTTGTTTGTTTGTTTGTTTAAAAAAGACAACTCCCGCATTAGGAATATATCTTGTGTCGCGGGGGACTTTACAAACATACATGAAACGGACACAAAGAACACCCAGACTTAGAACAACAATTTGTGGATCACACAAAGTGTTGTCCCATGTGGGGTTTGAACCCACAACACTCAGCGCAGTAGGAAGCGGCATGGCGACCGCTTAAACCAATACGCCATGCGTGCAGTCAACGTTTTATGTCATAAGTATTCATAATTTTTATCAAGAATTTAATTGTCAAAGTCGACATAATAAATATACTATTAAATGATAAAATATTCCTAAATGATAACACACATGTTTAAATTCGCTCTTTGTTGTGCAGTATCGGCGAAGATAACAATCGATAACTTTTTTTTGAGGGTTATTTTTATTTCACACTCCACCGTAAGTTTATATAAAAGGAAATTCGTGAACATTCTTTTGAACTATCTTAACATTTGTTAAATACTCGTACATACATTAAAAGAATTGAGAGAGAACGTTTAAAATAATATTTACGAATTATTTTATCCCTTTTTAGATATTGGTATTGGTTGTGGGCTTCAGTTTCCGCATTTAGACTCAAGAGTAGTTCTTTATGCGTCGAGGACTGGAGTTAGGTGAGCCAACCAAGCTTTTTCCAGAAGCGCAGAAGCCTCTTGGGGCGTTCACAGGCTTCTAGGAGCGATTTTGTGTCAGGAATGATACTAAATCGCTCCTAGAAGCTTAGCTTAGCTTTAGGTATTGTTATAAATAGTTTAATTATTACCATTGTTATACTTATTACAACTTCTTAATAATGTTTTTTTTTAAAGACAACTCCCGCACTAGGAATGTAACCTATATCGCGGGGGACTTTACAGATATTTATGGAACAGACACAAAGAACACACACATTTAGGACAATAATTTGTGGATCACACAAAGATTTGTCCTATGTGGGGATCGAGCCCACAACACTCAGCGCAGAAGGAGCTTAAACCACTACGCCATCTATACAGTGAAATACGTACAATTATTCCTATAAATTCCTTTATGTAATTGCTGTGTACATCTTGAAGTTACACAATAACACGTTTACGCTTAATGTAACAGCGAAAAAGTCGTTGAGGTATCTACTCTAAGTAACAAAAAAAAAGAATTTTTACAGTATTGTATGTATCATTATAATAATCTCACACCTCTTACATACGGCTGATTTCAAACTAGGCAGAGCGGGTACCATGGTAACCAGACTGTTGATAAATATTTCTAAATACATACGTGTTTTAGATAAATTACACCCAGACAGAACCAATGATCCTGCTCATCATACGATAATTTGTCCTGGGTGGGATCACGAACCCACGACCTCAGGCTGAGCAGACATTGTCACTAACCACTACACCAACAGGCCCGTTAGTTCGGCCGTATTTACTTAAGTTAGCTAATTAAATCAAATTCATCGACACGTCAATAAAAAAAATGTGGAGAATTTAACATCGTTCGCATTGGAGATGGGTCTTGCTAAAGAATCTGGCAAGTTCCCGGGGCTAATGGAACGGATTCCTATAAAGGTCGGAAGCAATCCGGTACCGGATGCCGGCCGGAATGCCGATAGAGCGGCGTAATTAAAACTGCCACGTCTTTTAACTGATATCCTGCCACCTGGCTTGTTAGACCGAGAGCTTACAACCTTCAACGTTTAATAAGGATTGATATTTCAATATTTTTTTTATCATATAGAGGAGTGAATGGACAGAACCAGACAGGATCAAAATGACTGCCACCGTCTATGAACGGCTGCAACTCAGGAGTCATAAGCACGATGCCGGTCTGAAATATTAATTTAATACTAGAGAGGTAATCATTTAACTTCAAATGTCTGTCCGCCTGTTCGTTTGCATAGCTAGATACTATAAATATTTAAATATTTTTTTTTGAACAAATTTGGGGGATGTAGTGTAAGGTTGTACATTCACCTATTGGTGAAACTTGAGAGGGTTGGTGTGAGGGGAGTGCCTCTGAAATTAATGGCGAGTTATTTAACCGAAAGATGCCAAAGGGTTAAAATAGGAGGTTGGTTGAGTGACGAAATCTACGTTGAATTTGGCGTGCCGCAGGGCAGTATACTTGGCCCTACCTTGTTTCTGGTGTATATTAACGAACTGTGCCAGTTAAAACTCAACAAAGGCAAAATAATTACGTTCGCTGATGATACTGCCTTGTTCTTCGGTGGCGATAGTTGGGAAGAGGTTTTTAACAACGCTCAGTATGGCTTCAACATGGTGAAACAATGGTTGCAACATAACGTATTGACACTTAATATATCAAAGACCAAATATGTAACATATGCTCATAAGACAAATCTCTTACCACAATCATTTGACATTAAAGCCCATGATTGCACGACCTTTAATCATTGCTCATGTCCCAGTCTTCATAGGACTGAGGTGATTAAATATCTGGGTATTATCATTGACCAAACACTAACCTTTAAACCATATATTAGCACCCTAGTTTCAAGGCTGCGAAAGATTATGTATGTCTTTAAGAGCTTAAGATTCACAGCTGATCGTAATATTACCAAAACAGTTTACTACGCGCTTTGTAATTCACTGATTAGCTATTGTATTACCACGTTCGGTGGTGCTGCCAAAACTCATCTCTGGGAAGTTGAAAGGGCACAGCGTGGTATTTTGAAGGTAGGCGCAGGGCTGCCATTTCGATTCCCGACAGCTCAACTCTATAAAGATTGGGATGTATTAACCGTGAGACAGTCATTTATACTCAATATTATACTTAGGCAACATAAACAGACGCCT